CTGCAGTTCCCAGCAGCAGCAGCAGAATCCCCAGGATGTACTTGTACTGTTTTCACACTTGAGGTTTGCCCTCAGCTGCGGTGTCAGAGGTTGCTGTTTGAGGACCTAGAAGCTCTGTTTTGGTTTTACATGATGTAAACATAGGCAGAGTGTGCTCAATGATGGTCAATCCCACGGGAAGCCAGATTCTCTTACAATAGAGATGGGCCCTTGTGGATAAAATGCAGTTGCAGATTCCTTCCTCTCCTTCCTCTCCAAGTTCTTTTGTCTTCACCTTTCATTCTCTCAGCACTACACCTGTGAGACCTCTGTCTCTGCCTCAGACTGCTCTTTCCTACAGACAGCTAAAACTTTTGAAATAAAAAAAATGTCTTCATGATTTACCCAAAGAATTTGAGGCCAATGCACTCTCTTTGTCTTCTCRTAGCTATTGTGCTTTGCACCATCTCACTGCCTCTGAGTTCAGGACCTTGTTCTCTTCAGATCTACATCCARTGTTGAAGGGTGACTATTGATTTTGTTTATTCCTGATTCACATCAGTAAGGGGTGATTAAAATTGCAATGCCCATGGAATRYAGCATGTTAATTCTGCTTTGCTTTMATTCTTGAAAATACTATAGCTTTGGAAAAGCTGTCATTATTTAGTCCTCCTCCCCCAAGCAGGCAAACTTAGAAAACAGGCTTCTAGTTYTGGGACAGCTGAGGGGATATAGACTGGCAAAGGTGGGCCAGGGAGTCAGGGAGGGAGCAAAGCAATTGCTACTCCTAAGTATCTTCTCCAGTCCTTTCCCTATTCTCAACTACTCTTTCTGCTCAGTCCTGGCTTTGTCACACTAAATAAAATATTTTTCTGAGTAACTCTTTTGTTTGTGTATTGTAATGGGCTTTCAGTTACATATGATGATTAATGAAAAAAGGTATCTATCTAATAGGAAAGACAATACATGGTGATACCAGCTGCAACACTGGAAAGTCCCTGAGTAATCCTATTGCAATTAGTTTTTTTCTTAAAAAGGCAACTAATGCAATTAAACTGGTCACTTTTGTTCTTTGAAAAAGGTGTTGCATGCAAAGTAGCCTGAACATTCTGATAATGCTTCAGGCAGCATCCTGTCCATTTCCACTTTTTCTTCTTTTTTTTTTTCCCCAATAATCCTGTCCATTTCCACTTTTTCTTCTTTTTTTTTTTCCCCAATACTACTTCCCTTTCTGGAGATGATTTCACTTCCTATGCAGTTACTACATACATGGGGAAAACCCAGGAATACACAAAGGCAGATATTTTCCATCAAACTCGATCGTAAATGGCTTTTGTTGTATTGTGAATTGGCCAAAGGGCTCAGAAAGGAAGGGCTGCAATTCTGGATTCCTTGAGACTGCTGAAAAATGTGACCCAAGCTCTGAGTCAAGCAGAAATGTTCAGTGGAAGCTCAGGGACTGGGCTGAAGCAAAGCTCACCATCACCGCTAGTGAAGTTTAGATGCACAACTGTGATTATTAAATGCATAGCACTMGGGCTCAGAACAGGCAGCAGGATGAACACTGGGAAATCAAGCTGGCTAGCAGGAAATTCAGAAGAGTGCTAAAGAAGTGCTAGCAATGGTTTTAGGTGTGTTATGGAATTGTGTATTACCAGAGCACCTGCTTGTGCAGCAGGGACATCCATGTGCTGTATCCTCTCAGGACAGAACTCCAGAGTGCTTCTCCTGCCCCTAAAGCAGAGATCTCATCAGCRGGGCAGATGGAAAAAACCATTCACCAGCAGAGGTGTTGCAATTGTGCCTTTCTGCAGCAAGGATCACGGACTGCACGGAAAGTACAGGAACAGGGATCATCATCTCCTGCGCTGTGAGGAAGTCGTGCTGCGGTACAGCAGAGCTCTGCCTCTCATCCTTCTTCTCAGAAGACTGTGCAATTTTATGACTAATTAAYACTCCTTTCTTAAAGCATTTGCACAATGACCTTTGTAACACCTGGCCAGTGCASGACTGATTTGGCAGAGACCCTCCACTCCATACCCAGCACTTCTAAAAATGAACAAAAGCCATTTCCATTTTTGTAAGTTAGATTAAATATTAAACACAAGCAGGCTCAGGAAGAGGGGAGGAAGAAGCCACACAAATTTCAGTGAGCCTCCCCTGAGAGGAGGGCTCAGCAAAACAAGTCAGGCTTGTAGAATTGCATTAACTAAAAAAAAGAGAATTAATATCTTTGGACATGACTGACCAGACAGCGGAAACTCATAAGAAGACAGATACTAAACATGGATCTCATGGTTACATTTCTAATTACAGCCCTTTATTCTGTATTTTTGGATAAAAGTCATTCAGTGTGACAATTGGCAGACTTAAAATCTTGGGTGGTTTGTTGATATCTAATTAAGGACTAGTTGGTGCGGGGGGAAACATAGAATTATGGCATTTGTAATTAAATTCTATAATTAAATTCTCTGTTTGGCCCTCTCAAGTCAGCCAACTTGCCTCAGGAAAGAYTCACAAAAGAGATCATCTCGCTGCCATATCACAGGTGACACTGTGACACTGTAAAGACCCAGACTGTCAGGAAAAAACACAAAGAAGTGGAGGTTGGTTTCCTATAGCAGAWAAGAATATGGAGAGACTTTGCATACAGGGTCACAGAAGTGTAAGAAATTGAGATGAAGAAATTGCCTGAAGGAAATCTAAAGCTGACACAGGACTATCCTTTCCTGTTCAACTAATACTCTTTCAAAAAAACCCCACAGGTCACATGGACTGACTCAGCTGCTCAGCAATTTTTAAATCATCTTTTACATGTTCAGATGTAAAATTCCAGGCATGAGGCAAGATTACTAAAGATAGTGGTGAACAATAATTGAGGGAAATTAGGACAGAGCACAGCAAGGAGTTCCCCAGGGGAAAAAAAATCCTCACTTCTCATGTGAGCATAAGGAAATGTAAATATCCTGGGCACTCAAATCAGAGAGGATTGGGCAGGAGCACACTGAAGATTATCAACAAACTACAATGTTTTCACTCGGGTACCTCAGCCTSTCTCCTGCCCTTTGTTTTCTACAGCACAACTGATGTGGAAACCTTGAGAAGTGGAATTATTGAATTTTATGCCTGCTGCAGTACCTCCAAATTGATTTAACTTTCCAGCACATACCAATTTGCCATGTGGTTTGGACAGGGACTTTTGTACCACCCATCAGTGTCAATAGTTGGATGCAGGACAGTCTGCATTCCTGTGTGTCATATACTGCTGATAAGCACATCAGTACTCAGAAATCTTATCACTTGGAAGCTGTTAAAGCACTCTCATGCCAAGAGAATGGAGGCTTCTCAATAACTGTATTTCTGACCCTTATGACAAACAAGTGTTTATACAGCTGAAGGCTATCAGATATCGCTTATGGCCCTCATATTTAAGGTTTAGAATGGCTCTCTTCAGTCAGTGTGTGAGCACTGGAATTCCAGCAGCTCTTGATTCACCTGCCTCACGTCTCCAAAACAAGGTCCTCTTAAATCAATTGGAACAGCAGCTCCTCTCTTTGGCCCAGATCACACAGTTCACAGTAAGACATGTGACCTTTTCATTCAGAGTTCATCTCTTCTGRCTTCTCTTTGTAACCACAGGAGAGATTTTATCTTTGTTGACTCTGAGCTTTTCACAGGCCACTCCTGAGCTCTCACACAGCTGAACAACACTTTGTAAAAAGAGATTGACCTGGAGACGTGATAAATGCCTACAAAATTATGAAGCCAGTGGAAATCAGGGATAAGGATCAATATCTGATTCTTGTTATTCTGCAAAAGAATCAGCAGGCAGTAAGTGAAACCACATTCAAACTACAAGGGATAAGCCTCAAAGACACTTCATCTTTTCTTACACATTCCTAGACACCTGCTGATGGCTAAGGTTGAAGAGCACAATCCAAAGGCAGACCTCAGGTCTGACAAGCWAGGGCTGTAATTAAGTGTTTATATGTTAGCTAATCCAGCTCTATTTGCTGCAAGCTGTAAGGTGACAGCAAAAACAGGTGTTTAATTCCGTAGCTTCTGGAATAGCTACTGATCAGGTTCTGTTCTCTCAGGCTATTTATAAACTACAGACACTGATAGRCATGSTGGTAAGTGGAATTCTGTCTGTCAYATGTAAATCTCTTRGACTTTCATGATCAGTYGGAGAACAATAACCTGTATTTATTCACATCTGGCCCTATGCTCTGCTCCTGTGACTTCCCCATCACCTGGCAGAAGAAGAAAATTTAAATTTGCAGAAGTGCCTTGTTTTATTTCAGAAGCAGAATCCTACAGAGGCTTTTAGAATTTGCCTCTACCCAAACTCAATGAAGCAAATAGCTAAGAGGTTCTGGCTTCAGAAGAAGCAGTCACCCTCAAAAAACAAAATCCACCTCAGGTTAGGCAAAGCAATTCATCATACTGTAGTAACACATTCTGTATGTTCTCAGTGGTATTACAGAGTCAGTCTGCATTCTCTTGCTTATTTCAATGAAACTAGATTTGAATTCATCAGAATACTGTAAGTATTTCTGCTACAGTTATCTCAGATTTCTTTTTGATGTACATGAATATAAGGACAAGGAGAGCTAGTAGCTATCATTTCTAGAATGATTAGCTCCTACTTCTATCATGTCTTAAAATAGGAAAGAAAAGATTGAAGTCCAAGGACACAGAGATGGAAAATCACATAGCAAATGCCTTTGACCTGTGATGGAAAGTCACAAGGAGGACAAAAGAAGTACAAACTCCCTACAGAGTCCACATGGTTTAGTACAGGGCTATTCTCCCTGTCTCTATTTCATAAAGAGCTTTCTATGAATGAGAAGCACTTTTGTGGTCATGAAGGGAAAGGAGCTGTGAGTCAGTGCTCCCAGCATCTCGCAGGGTCGGAGTTTCCATGGGTATGAGCCACCCGTGATGCCGGAGTGCCCCGGGTGGCCCAGGCAGGATATAAACACAGCCAGTCCCAGAGCACAGGCACTTGCCACCTGGCATCTGCCAGAGCTCACCCCGCCACAGAGCCAGGCCTGGGCCACACGAGCAACACAAGCATCATGATGGGCAAAACTGTGACTGCTCTCCTGATCCTCCTCCTGATCTCAGCTCTTGGAACACAAGGTAAAGAAGCCCTTTCTAAAACTCTCCTGGCTAATGGCCACAGCAAATGCTGATGGGGAGACGCAGTGCTGTCTTACAAGTGCAGACAAGGACTCTCCTAATGCTGTCAGGAAAAACCCCCATGTTGTGCTTCCAGTAAAAATAGTGAAACATTCCACCTTTTTTTGTGTTCCAGGTGAGGTTATGCCACGCTCGGCCATTGAACTCCGGTGCCAGTGCATAAACACCCATTCCAGGTTCATCCATCCCAAGTTCATCCAAAACGTGAACCTCACCCCTAGCGGGCCTCACTGCAAGAATGTTGAAGTCATGTAAGTATTTTGCAAAACCTTCCTGATTACTTAGGAAGAAGGAAGCAGATTTTGCATTCAGGATGGTGCAAGTGTTCTGTGAGTGGGGTGAGCAGCCACCAGAAGAAGCTGCTCAGGAAGCAGAACAGCAACACTCCTGGTTCCCACAGACCATGTGTTATGTGTTGTGAGCTGCATGCTGTTTTGCCAGTCTCTGTTTTTTAAATACATGCAATATTTGACTTAAATTTGCAGTCATCAGGCAGTTCTAAAACTCTGAATTCTACCAGAGCCACTCAGAGCAAGTAATCAAAATATCAATTTTAAGGGCTAGGTCAAAAAAGTGATCACACTTCTASTCAAGTCAATGATAAAACTACCATTAGCATACAAAACATACATTCCAGTTGTATTCCAGTACTTTTACTGTAAGAAACCAAATTCCTGTGGACTGAGCAATACAATTTCTGAATTGATCTGAAACCAGTTAAAAAACCTCTTTACGTTTGGCTACAGCCTCGGTTTATAGGGTTTGAAGGGGTTTTAAGGGGAATACGTTAGTGTATCCCTAGAATGATGTTATGAGAGAAAGGTGACATTACCTTGGATTTCACTAAGTACCCTTTCCCCTTCCTTTCCTCCGTGTTGCAGCGCTACCCTGAGAGATGGCAGAGAAGTGTGCCTGGAGCCCACTGCTCCCTGGGTGAAGCTSATCATCAAGGCAATTCTGGACAAGTGAGTCATTTCTCCTCAATAAGCACAGCTCATTGAAAACCGGTATTTTAATTGAACTACCAAACACAGCATGAGATGTGAAGTGTGAAGTGCTCCAAAATTCTGTCTCCCCAGGCAGTTATTATTTCTTGTGTTCACTAATTGAGACAAACACTGTGATTGCTTTGAGCCGTAATTATGGAATTAGTTATTGAACCCTTATTGTGCCACACATCCATGGGAAGGTTACCTTCATCTCCCATAAGGCACAAGGATTTTGAGAACCTGCAGCACAACTGCTCAGGAAATCCAGSTATTAACTGACTGGTTTTCTTTTGCTTGCAGTGGCAGAAAGCAGGATCAGCTTTTCAAACTAATGGCATATAGATAAGTGGGGCTAAAATCAGGCTTCACTTGTCAAATGAAGCATCAAACTGTGGAAATTCACCATTATTGAATCCTTTTGGTGTGTCATGATGTACCAGTACCCCTTGGGTTCAGTCACAACTTTTCAGGGTCRTGGGCAGAAGCACAAAGTGGTGGATTTCAGCTGATGCCAGCAAGTCTTACCTGTTTGATTTTTRACAGCCTCCTTTCCCATCTTCTTTCTTTCTAGGGCCAACACCAAATCTGAGACAGTGTCCTAAAGCAAAGAAGAAAAATATTCTAACTCTTTCAGCGAGGTGAAAAGGGAAGATCCTCACCCAACTTCTGACAGCTGACCTCCTYCTGCCTCCCATGTTCACAATTTCACAGCATCTAGAATATGTATTCCCCAGTCTGTAGTTAATTGACAAATGACACTTCTAGTCTTTTAAAGAAAGGAAAGAAACCACTGACAYCAAAACAAGAAGGCAAAAGAAACAGTTTGTGGAAGAATATGGAGATGATTCTGAAACAGTTTTTGCTAAACACAGCTGGAACAGTGCAGTGCATACCCAGCAGAGCTTTCACTAAATGACTCCTTCCTTTTTTGCTAACAGTTTAGGAAAAGACCAGCAACAACTTCAGCTGTACCTGAGCCACTGCCACTCACAGTGGGCTACTGGCCGAAAAGGCGAGAATTGCAGAATTAACATGTCAAAATTCTGCTACATTAGGTTTTGTGTCATCATTTTCAAGCTATTACTTAATGTGAATTAGTGTTGTAAAGCTATAAACATATGTTTTAATGCCATCTTTTGGCTAGGGAAAAAGCACTTTATTTATTTATAGAATTATTTTTATTATTTATTTATTTATATAATTATTTTTTATTATTTATTTATTTATTTATTTATGGAAGAGTTTTATCTTTATGCACCTAATAAATGCTTGCTGAAATATTTTCACTCAAATATTGTTTGTTATTAATTTTCTCATTGAAATACAGAACTGAAAGAAAGAGGAAACATTTTCCTTCATTTTGTATCACATCATGGGTTCCCAGAAAGGCAAGGTGTGTCTGAGTTGTGGGGGACAGCAAATTGAAAGAGCAAGTTGCTGCCTCTGTAAAGTGTATATAATTGACAATCAGAGGAAATAAGAAGGTTATCTTTTCTTGTCAGACTCAGTGTTTACAGAGGTTTGGATGATAAAATTCCCAGATAGYAATGAACAAATACTGGTTAGTCACAGAAACTGCAAGGCTATAGCAGTGTGGTGCTCTGACAGTGCAGCAGCTGAATTCATGGTAATGAGCAAGGGTTTTCATTAACTTAAATAAACAGAATGATCTGATAAACATTAAGGAAGTTGATGAGCATCCTCCCTAATTCCCATGAGGAGGGAGGATTGCATTAGGGGAAATCCTGAGCAACAGAGCTGTGATTGTATGGCCTCACATCTACCTGTAGCACAGCAATTTACTGAGGAATGTTGAAATTCAAGTGCTGAACACTYGAGAAATGGGAAAGTTGAGCAAATATTTTGATATTTGCTTAGGTTCAGTCTTYTCCAGCAAGGAGCCACTCCATATTCTGCACAACCAGCTCATGTTTGCTCAAGGTGCAAGACATGAAGGGAGCTTTTGGCAGAGTTTTGAGCAAGTTCTTGTGCAAGAAGACAACTGTTCTGACCACAATTTGCYCCCCATCCCCATATTTGCCCTTGTCCCACTGCACAGCATTGTACAGCCTGCTAGATCTCAGAAYGGGAAGCAGTCAAAGTTTCTCAAGGAGACAGGTTTTGTTCAGACTTGTCTTACAAYTCTAAGCCTTCCTGTTTCCCGAGGGATTTTTACAAACTGCCTTCTTCCAGAGATCTAATTTGAAGACAAGGATGTTGCAAGTATCAACCAAGAATGGGGAGAGGTTGGGAAGAACAACTTGATTTGCACAGGCATAACATTATGGGTGTATCCTAAAAATCTGGCACTGGTTTCAGTGTAACACAGTAGCCTTTGCCACCAGCAAAATCCAGTCAAGATTTTGGGAACTGAACTGCAGCTGAGGAAGGGTTCTTCTCATGAGTTCTTCTGTCCAAAATGTCAGCAATGGTTGCACTCACAGGACCCTGGGCAGGGCATCTGCACCTTCCTCTGTAGGCTCATTGGTGAGAGGTGGCTCTGAGGGTAGAAATCATAACACATTACATCTCTGTTTTGTGTGCAGTCACAGAATACCTGCTTTAGAAGCACAGCAACCAGCCTCACGCTTTCAAAAATGTGTTTCAGTGCTCTTGGAGACTGCTAAGGATGCACCGTGGCTCTTCTGACTCAGTGTCTACCTTCGTCAGACAGGGCTGTTTTTCCGTGTTGGCAGAAGTCACTTATGACATGTGCTTATCTGTTGTTTTAAACACCTGTGATTATTCTAAATGCACGAGGTTAGAAAGAAAAACAAGCAACTTTCTAAAGTGCTTATTTTAACCAGGTGTCATTACAGCCTTTATTGCCAGACACCTTCTCCTTTCATGTTCTGAGCAGATGAAAGTTTCAGAAGAGCTTAAGTGACTTCGGTGACAATGCCTCAGTCATTTTAAGCTCATTATTTCCTGCTTAATKACTAGAATGACTTTTCAGTACAGAATAAAGCATCTAAATCCCTTTAGCCAAACTGAAAATGACAAAATCCTTTCAGAGAACAAGAAAATCTAGTTGTGCCTTGCCTCATAAAACACTGGCTAAAAAACTTAATTGAATCCATATTAAAATRCAGTGTGTAAGATTGGGATGAAAAGTTCCTGTTATTATGTTGGGTAAATGTTTTTGCACAAGGCATATAAACATGATGCAAAGAGCTGAACAGAGATTCTATATTCACAGAGGAGGGAAMAAGTCCCTTTATTTTGGCTCAGTGGCACATCTGGTTATGTATTGATTCCCAGGTGCATGCTCAGCATTTTTGGCTAAAGCTAATATCCCGTGATGAAGTGCAAACAGAAAGAGATGGAGAACAATAACAATTCAAAGAAATAATTGAAAATATTTCAGCAAAAGCTAGGGAAGTTTGAAGTACCACAGAATGGACTGCGCAGAGGTTTGGATTTCTTATGCAACCCTGTCATGTGTTAGGAAAGCTGCATGTGCAGAMCCCACTCCTCAGCACTCCAGCTGCTGGGAGTGCACCTTTGAGATATAAAACCTGATGGGAAACAGCACCAGAGTGGGAACTCTGTCAAGAACAAAACGTGCACAGCAATGGACTGCAAATCTGTTGCTATCACTTTGGTTCTTTGCTTGGTCTCAGTGGCAGGGTCAGAAGGTAAGAAAATTATTTCTTAAAACTCATGTAAGCAATGAATAAGTATACACATGCAAATGCAAGCGGGCTTACGCTATGTCCATGATGACATTTTGCAAGAGAATTGCATCCTCAATAAGCTGTCATTCAGAAGGGAAAAGGATCATTTGTACCTGTTAGGATGCTGTGGATGTTTCCAGGAATAAAATATTTTTCTGTCAGGAAATGAGTTTATTCCTATGCCATAATATATGCTTGTCTCTATATTTTAAGAAGTGTTTGAATTAAAACAGGATCTTTTTTCCTAAGCATGTTCATATATCTCTTCTTTTCCAAATGACAATTTCATCCTATTTGCATTTTTATCCTCGGTAGGCAGGTTGATGACAGAGCAAGAACTATCCCGTTTGCAAGACAGAATAAAGAATATGAGCAGATTATCATGGCAGAAATGTGGCAATCCAAGTTTAAACTAAAATGCACCTGCATTTGTGCAGATGTGGTTAATTTTATGTCAGCATCCAGCAGTTCTGAGTGTCTGAGGAACAAAATTGAAGCTACAGGAGGGAATACAGTTTGCTTCAGGGGAGCARATAAAGAGACTGTTCATGTACCTAAACATAAGTGAGTTTTGTTCCACAGGTAAGGCCCTGGAGAAGACAGGTGAAAGAGGATCCCAATGCCAGTGCATAAGTACTCATTCCAAGTTCATCCCTCCCAAGACTGTTCAGGATGTAAGAATACGCCAAAGAGGACCTCATTGCAAAAATGTGGAAATCATGTGAGCACTTTTGCTGAACAGCATCTTGCTTCCAACAGGAGGAACGAACTCAGCATTTCTTGCCCTATTCACTCATGTAATTCAAGGACAAGGATGTTTCCCCTGCAAAGCATTGTGGACATGCAGTGTCAGGAATGAGGCCTTCTGTCCAGACAAATGAGCTAATTCCCAGCCAGTATTACAAGCAGCTTCCAGACAGTATTTTAAATCTCTCTCTGCTGTTATCTTACTTATGACCAACGTCAGAGGGGAGAATCAGATTCTCACAACACATTCAGGGCACAATTAATAACATAGACAATGAAGAATTGACCAAAGATACAAATTTGATCCTCTTCACATGAGTTAAAACAATGTCCTCTGACTTGGCCTGCATGTGACAAAGTTAGAAAGGCCCCAGATAATTTCCTGTGTGAGAATTGCACATGGAGTATTTCCCTGTGTGAGGAGCGTGGAATTTGGATTACATTCCRTGTGGGTACAAAATAAAAGATACCAAAAGTTTCATCTAAATTTCACTCCTGGAACTAGTCACAATAACTGTACCAGTGCAGTCAGTAAACAGAAGGGATCAGTCAGGTTTTTATGCTTTCACTACAGTTTCTGAAGCAAATAATGGCTGTACAATCATACTGTCTGTGCAGCACTGCATGGCATCCAGTCCCACCTCACTAGGAGTTAATAATTTAAGCCAGGTTTAGTTAAAAAAACAACTTTTCCAGCTATTTAAGTTCTTGAAAGATCAGCTAAACTATGACCAGATAGAAAACTGAAACCAAATASTAAATTCATTGGGCTCATTAGTAGTTTAGAGCATAAACACCTATAATGATATAATTCGTAAAAAACTGCTAACAAATAAGACAGAACCAAACAGGTCCTTCATCTACTTGATGGACAAATGGCAAAGAGAAATTTCCAGCCATAAGGAGAAATGTGAGGGACACGTCTGGCCTTATCTTCTCCATTTGTTTCTCCTCAGAGCTACGCTGAAAGATGGCAGGGAAGTGTGTGTGGAACCCACTGCACCCTSGATCAGGCTCACTCTAAAGGCTCTGCTGGCCAGGTAAATTGTTTTCTTTACTAGAACACCATCAGTTAAAGGCTCATTTTAGAAGGCTGCTTAAATTATTCCCATGCAAATGTTCCCCCTCTTCAGGTATTAGTAACTCTTTCTGTCAGTTCTCTGTAAAGCAGCATTGCTACAAGCCTGAGGAGTCACAGTTTCCTTTGATCCCTTCCTGGTGTGTTAAAGCACCCAAAAGGCCGTGGCTATGATGCCCCTACACCTCTGCTGAGAGTCAGCACAGTGCACATTTGACACTTCCAGAAACCAAGGTCTCACAGACTCACTCCCTCTTTCTGGGTATAATTCGGATGTGCAGCTGACATTTCCAAGAGCTTTCACTGCTGCMGACAGGGACTGTCAAATTCTTACTYTGCACACAGGCAGAYRGAARTMTTTTCCATTGGTGCAGTTCATGCAGGAACAGTTTTGTGTGTTTTTTGTCTTTGCACAAATGTCAAKTGGCTGGTACAGTAAAAATAAGTCATTATCAATTYGTGAGCTCTCCTTTAGCTTGTATTAATAGTAATTGTTTCTTTAATTAATTTCTGACTTCACTTTATACTTAATCTAATTACAGGGCCAGGGACAACGTTGAGTCATCAGTCAAAGAAATGCCAAGGAAAAATAAACCTTGGATTTCTGCAAGCATATGAAATGAGAGGAAACATTGCTGATGAGAATGCCCCCTCTGCTACATTACTACAGCTGATTTTTTTTTTCCCTGAGATGGCTGTTGATTCATCTYATTTCCTTTGCTGTGTCTCTCTCTAAACTTTTGTCTGTGATAGATCAAAGAGTTTAAGCTTAATGAATGTTTTAGTGTTGTAAAGATGTAAATAGACAAGATGAAATTACCCTTAACTGGCCTTACTTGAAACAGAAATAAAATGGMTACAATTTGCAAACACATGAATAAACACATCTTAAGGAAGCATCTGTGCAGCTTTGCAGGAAGTCATCTTTCACAAACTTGTTGCAGTAATTTGAAGGTGACTAGAAGACCATGTACGTGGCAGGTCTCACAGGTAGAGTCAGATTGCTTTTCTGAAATCCTTTCACAGCCCTCACCAAACATTGAGATAATAAGGCTAAGAAAAAAAGACTTGAAAAGGGATAAATAACAGATGATTACATAGAGGCGAAGGGCAGAATGAAAAGATCAGCTTTTATTGATAAAGGAACCCATGGATTCCTACACATTCTTGTGTAGTGTCCTGTTTGGTTTGGCAGTCCCACAAGGGGTCAGGGAAGGTCATTTGCTGTGAATTGAAGTATGCTGAGGATGCTGAATGATGATGTAAAAACAAAGCTCAACTGTAAAGAACTTCAGAAAAACCKTAGGAAACTCACTGATCAGGCAACAAACTGCCAGGTGAGATTCCCTGAAGGAAGTAGGAAACATGATTCACATAGGAAAAAATGACAAAGCTCGTATAAAAATAAGACATTCTAGGCTGACCATTAGTACATAGGAGAGAGATCTGGGGATGATGCTAGGTGTATGATAGGAATATCAGAGCAGGGAATGAAGAGTGTTTGTGAGTGACTTGGACTGGTATTTGACTGGGTGTARGGAAGGTGCAAGCAAGCACAGGCTGATACCTCCCTTACCTCCTGTGAAGTGTTTCACTGTCTCATCAACAGCTCCCAGTCACTGCCAGCCTCGGGGTGAATACTGGGAGTTCAYGACTTTCAGAAGGGAGCAGCTAAAAATAGAGATACTACATCACCTGTGTTACTTCTATTTGTTGTGCTGGAGTTTCCTCTTACAGACAGGAAGATGCAGGCAGAGAGATACATATATACCAAAASAAGTATAAAAACCATATTTTTGAAGAAAAAACCAAAATTATTTATTTCAATATAAGAGACAATTTTTGGTCTTTTTTTCTSTCATGCCAGTTCGCAGAATAGTCTGAGTTGGAAGGGACTGAGATGGATCATTGAGTGAAAGGCCAATATGGGGATTGAACCTGTGACCTTGGCATTATTAGCACCATGTTCAACCTGACATTATAATAGACCACATTTTTTGCTTTACAAAAGGATTTTGCAGTTTATGTATTTATTCTGTTTCTGCAGGGTCCAGGGGAATGCTTATRTGATTAAACATTGGTTTAATGTGTCAATTCCCATTAATTTATTGTTAATTTCTTTCTACAGTCAAAAAGATGTTTTGCCTTAATGATTAGSCACACACTGTTATGGCTGACCATATAAATCTAATTTCTGTGGTAGAAAGTGCTAAAATGTCAATTCTAGCAGCGATCATCAGATTAGACATGGAGAGAGTGATGGAGGACTCAAAAAGGCCATGAGTGCTCTTGTGAGCCCCAGGGTGGGAGCTGGGGTTTGAGGTTTGACCCCCCACTGGCCCCCTAATTCAGGTCTGAATCCATGAGCTGACTGAATACACCCATTGTTCCTCCCTGCTGCTGCTGCACCAGGTTTTGGTGAGCAGTGACATTTGACCTGAACAGCAGCTTGGGATCCAGTGCATCATCAAGTTTACATATTACAGCTTTTGTGCCAAAGAGATCTCACTTACAAGAGTCAGAGATGCAGGTGTGACGCATGTTATGGCCACTGACCGCTTCTAATTTAATCAAAAGTTCATGACACAAATTTCTTAAAACTTACCATGTGTTTCCTCCTGCCACTTCCACATCTTATTTGCATAGACAGATAAAGCTTCCGGCTGAGCTCATGAGAGGAAAATGCAAGTACACAATAAATGCAGCCTTATGGGGAAGATAAAACCCAACAATTCTCTAGGTGAACTTAGTATCGGTTAATGCCAGGCAGATGAATTTTATTTGTAGTATGTATAATTGTTAATATTCCAAGAATTCTATGCTAACACTACAATTATTATTAATGCTTCATTTTCTAATATTACCGGATATATTATATTAATATTTTCAATAATTTTTCATATTGAGTTGGAGTAAATTAAACATTTCATTTAATCCACAATTTTTGAAGTAAAAGCTACAACACAGAATTGGTTTTTTTTCAAGCAGAGATGAAATACATATAAAAAATAAATATACAGTAACATAAATATATAAATACATCACTGTTTTTATAAATACATATATTAGAAGGCAAATCAACTTAAAAGCTGTATTGCTTCTCTGTGATTCTAGAGCAATWCAGGAAAATCCAGCACTTGCATTGATCTGACTAAGGCTACATAACCATCTATATTTAAACACTGAAGTTTGAAAAACCCCACAAGCTGACCTAAGCATTTCTCCTTTCCTTTCTATCACTTCCTCCTACAGCAATTCAGATGTCTAGCAGWTATTTTGCTTTTTATGCGTCTGTTCCCTAAGCTGTGCCTCACCACAGACTTCCACAAATGTTTGCACAGCATTGGGCACAGCTTCTGAGCAGCTGAAGTGACTATTTCCCAGCTCCTGTATTTGTCCCTTCAGCTCTCTGCAGCTCAAGTAGAATGGCAGGTGAATGCCAAGRCCTTTGTGGGGAAAAGGAGGTGGTCTCGGAAGACAGAGTGAGATTTGCCCTGGGAACAGGAGTAGCTGGAACAGAGGACACACAGGAAGCAGGAGGTGACAGACAGGCTGAACCCTCATTTTGGCAAAAGCTTTGCTTTCTGGGCCTCTGGGTGCTGACCGCACAACTTCTCAACTGAGAGATTGGAATGCGTCTGCAACAAGACAGAATTCCTAATTTTCTCCGAGTAACTTTATCAGTCCAGGAGCTGGAGCATTCCTCTGAACTGGAGCAAGTCAAACCAGAAATGGATGGAAGCTCAGCTTCAGTACACCTGAATCCCCCTCAGTGTGTCCCTTGTGTGGGGGCATCCTTTGCTACATACAAAGACTAACGGATCCCAATCAAGATGCCCTTTTGACTTTTGGGTTTGTTAGACAATGTGATGAGTCATGGAAAACCACTAGTTTCCATCGTGCAACGTGGAGAACACAAGTTATATCCTGCCTTAGAACACAGGCACGGGAGGTGCTTGCTTCCTTTTCAGCAGTCTTTCAGTAATCAGATTGTTGTGTAAGTGTTGTTCTGTTCACTGCCAGAGTGGTTTTACCAAGGTTTGGCATGGAAGGGCTGCTCACGGCAATACCAGCTCACTCAGTGACGTGATCCTTCAAAAGGAGCAGCAATTCCATTTGCAAAAGTCATCTCTGATGGATGGCAGGAAARAAGCTGCCAGAATCTCATCATGGATTTGCAGTTCCCATGGCAAAAGCCTGGATGAGCTCCTGGGCTAWGTGTTGAAGGGATGTAGAGGGAATTTGGGCAAAACACGGCACTCCCAGGAACGCCCCTTAGGAGTGCCTGGCCTTTGGGCTTGATCTCATGCCTCAACCTTTTCATGCCTCTTTTTTCTCTCTTACACCTCCTTCACACAGTCCCGATGAAACTAACCACTGGGGAAAAGTGGAGGGAGATGCTCCTGCTCTCAGAAAATATAATGGATTTATACTCCATTACAAACATCCTGTTTTTTAAGACAGATACTCACTCTTAGTTCAGGGGCAGGGCTAAWCATAGGTGGAGCAGGCTCTTGGCTTCACTTCTGCACTGGGAATTTCTGCAGATCCATTACCACCACAGGCAGGAAATAGCTGAGCCTGGAGATAAGGAGCACAAGCACCCACTGGTTTCACTTGGGGATYTGAAGGGGAATTCTCTTTTTTTCCCTCAAATATGAATAATATTTCAGCACATGCCAAAATTATACAATAAGGCTGYAAATAGTAACTAAGAAAAGTGGGATTTCTAATCAAATGTTAGTCTTTGTGTGTGTGCATACTTAYGTAAAGACACTGAAAGAAATCAAAGGAAAAGTCAGCAAAAAACTATTCCAAGTAAACTGGTTGAAACACCAACATCTATGATCTTACACAGGTGAAACCACATATTAATATAACATAACGTATGCATGGTAATACAACATAAGCAATAAACACAACCTTAAGTTCCTATCAAAATCCTCTCCTGGTTTTTTCTCCCATGTCCTCTGAAGATTTCAGAAAAGACTTATTAAAAACGTCTGGACTTACAGAGTAAACAAAATCAGTTTTGTTCAGCAGGTCATGTTGTTTAGTTTGCATATAAAACTTCCTCTGTCTATCATTTATTAACATGCACAACATGAAAAGAACAGGCACGATTTTCAAATCCATTCAGAATTCAAGATCTACTTTCCACAGAAAACTTTGAATACTGCAGCCTCAATTCCTTACTAGACACCAAGAATTAGTGATGAATTTRCTTTGTATCATGCCCCTTGAACAGAGGAAAAAAAATAACTAAAATGAAAATCCTTTGCATCAAAGTAATGCTGAGGTAAAATCCTGACCCAGTAAAATGCTTCTCAGTAATTTCTGCACTGCCTGATTTCCACTCTGGTGGCTTAAATCAGATAAGTAGAAGCTGTCACCATAAGTAGGAATAATAAATTCAGTATCTCAAGTATAGACTTGACATGTCTACAAAGAACAGTTATAGCCCTGAAGAAAATAATAAAAAATGATAACATAAATGTAACTGAAACCGTCCTAAGATTGTATTATTTGATAAGGATATGCTTCATAAAAACCACAAAATGCACAAGTCTACAAAAATAATTGGAATGTGTGACTATCACAGACATATTTTAATAAATTAATATATCATATTATTAGCTGCAGAATTCCTCGTCATCTAGGAAGAAATGTTGCAATGGTCATGTGACTCATTTTTACTGCATCTGGGAAATTCCTCTAACGCAATCTCCATGCTAGCAGAATACACAGGCTGGGCACACAACCGTGTATAAATAGGAATCAACAATGCTCACACACAGCAGCACTCCTCTGGGACAGGAGCTCACAGAACTACACCGAAACAACCCGGCAAAAACTCCTGTCCAACCATGAACGGCAAACTCGTGGCWGTCCTGGCTCTTTTCCTGATCTCAGCAGCTGTGTCTCAAGGTAAGCAAAGCTTCCCAAAGTCCCCTTGTCTGGAGTTTTGCCCAGGCACCTACTGAGATGCTTGTCCTTGCAGAGTAGCTTTCTATTTGTCTCCGTATATTAGTCTCTTGAGAGATTTTCAGCACCTCTTTTCAGTCAGAAATCTACTGTGTAGACCTTGGACTGAACAGTTACTGACATCTTGCGGGAAATATTTTAAGGATGCAACTTGCATTCACTTTGTTTCTGTTTCACTTGAAATGTATGTGGCTCTTCTGTGGCTAGAGACAGAGTTTTGTTTTGAAGTGTTTTAGTGTTTGTCTCCCTTCCCACACGAAGAACAGTTTATCATCTCGTATTTGTTGCTTAGTGAGCATGCTGCCTCAAGCAAGTAACACACATTAGGGAAGGGAGAGCAAACAATACGAGCACAGAAACATGGGCTAACCTCCAATTAATGAACAAATCTAGGGCTCTGTCCTCTGCAGAGTGGCCAAGTCTTTTGATCCAAATATTAAAGCTATGCAATTAACAGTGCAGTGTAATCAGTACAAGTAACCACAAAATATGAAKGTTCGTTTTTAAAAGATTTGTAACTTAGTTTCCAATGCACTTGGGTATCCAAGCTACCCTGAAACATAAGCAGCCCTCCCTGCAGTGAAGATTTAGGCAGCTCGGACAAATGCAATGTTTTAACAGAGAATGTTGTTGCAATAGAGCAGCTCTGTTTCATATCTGATATACTGRCCATAAGACCTCATGCTAAACCCTGATCTGCCTTTTCTGCTCACAGGTAGGACCCTGGCAAGGATGGGAACSGAGCTGCGGTGCCAGTGCATAGCCACTCATTCCAGGTTCATTCCCCCGAAATCKATTCAAGATGTGAAGCTGACACAGAGCGGCCCCCACTGCAAGAATGTTGAAGTCATGTAAGTAGTTCTGCAAGAGGCTCCTTCCTCTTCCCCTTCACTGCTGCCACTGCTGTAGAACTTTTAGGCTTCACAAATCCCACAGTCAGCATGCTGACCCCATGAAGGCRGATTTGGTTATCATTTGGAGAGGGTTGCTTTTAAGTGAAACACTTAAAAGTGGTTTTCACTGTCTCTATGACCTTACATATTCCTGAGCCGATCATTTTTAATCTGTCATGGAACATGTTAGATTTTCCTAATAGTAGAATTTGAATTTCATGGGCATGTCAGTTCTTAATACACAAGGTAATGATGTAGTTCAATCCTGCATTTATTAGGCAGGCAGACTCAAGGAGAAAAATTAAGCTCTAACAAGCAGATTTAGGAACCAGCCTGTCCTGGTCTGACTAGCACAAAGGCACTAAAATGTTAAAATCCTTATTCTGCTCAAACACCTTTTCACCACTGGAGGTTTCAATCATTGTGTAAGAAAGCTTTGCTAATATAAACAAATCCAAACCAAGTATTCATATGTACTGGGAAAGATTTTTGGGAATGTGTGACTGCTTTTACAGCAGAGACAGAGACTCACACAATTTTGGATCGTTGTAGGGTCCACAGCTGTGCAACACATAAAGCAAAACAGTCAAGTCTAACCTAGAGTAGTTGGGATGAATTTATACTATCTGATCTAAATGCAAGATTACATTATGTGGGTAAAACAAACCCATGTAGCAGTTTCCTGACTTTTCTTTATTCCCTGTTTTGCAGAGCTACTCTGAAGGATGGCAGAGAGGTGTGCTTGGAGCCCACTGCACCATGGGTACAGCTGATTATAAAGGCAATCYTGGCCAGGTAAGACCAATTCCCTCTCTGTTTGGCCAGTTGAGTGGCAAACCTCCCAGAGAAAGCCAATTGTAGGATTCTGTAATGATACTTCCTATTTTTTCTTAATCAGATTTAAAGAACAGGGAAACTTCCTGCTTAATTATGGAAATAGGCTTAGTTTTCCTGACTATGCTGCAGGGTCCTTGCTCAAGCCACTATGTCAGTACTAAACCTCTGAGTACCAGCAGCTCAGTCTGAAGGCAGAGAAACACAATTSTTTATGACCCTTTGAAAAATAAGGCTTAAAAGAAGTAATCTTCCCCTTATTTAGTTCCCATTTTTGAGTTAATGAGGTTCTTACTGTGAGAAGCTGCAGAGGTTCCCCAGCTGGACACCAGACATGCACACTCTGGGATTTCAGTAGTTGCTTTCAAAATAYCGACTTCATTCTCACTGTGCTTCAAGATAGCACATAGAATTGGAAAGACACCCCTCATTCTTAACTGTGCAATGCTAGGCAGTGATAATGGTCTTGAACCCTCTTTTAAATTATTCTTGTCCCTTGCCTCTCAACAGGGCTCAACAAAATTCTGACTCTCCTCTCTAAGAAACACCAGGACAGGAAAAAACCTGGGAACTGCTCCTACTCCTCCATCAAGAGAAATATTTGKGGAAAGCATCATTCAAGCATTCTTCCACCTCCTGCGTCAATGTTATGATGCTAATTCCCAATGGGTTTATTTATTTATCTATTTATTTAACTCTGCGTTTATTTAAGGAATTCTTGGACAATGGTCAGTGTGGTCCATGGGACACGGTGCCCATGATGCTGAAGGAAAAGTGGTTTGCTGAGGGAGACTGACAACCCTTGGCAGACACTTTAGCCAAACACGTGCAGTGGGGTGCAATGCACCTGTAGCACAGCTTATTYACACTAAGCCTTATAATTTTGCTATTTCACCAGCAAACTCGTGAATCCTCCTGCTCCCCTGGAGTGCACTTGTATGTTGTGTCAACAACAGCTTCCTGAACCATGGTCAGCCTGTGGCCAGACTGTGAACTGTAATGTCTAACTTGAAAAGCCAAACTTACAGAATGTGTAAGACTGTACTTGGTATTTATGTCYTGTGATTTCCATGGTATTTATAAATGTATTTATTGAGTAGCCTTTATGTAAGAGAGAAAACATTATAATTTATTGCATTTCTAGTGGATTTTTCATTCCTGCTATTCATTTCTGAAGAAATATTCAACATCTCATTACTCTGTACTTGATTGCATGCCTAATTAGCTACTCCATCAGCTAATAGAAAAAACTGCATTTTACATACACAGAATTTGATTGTGAGAGTGTAATTATTTCTATTACCACGTTATTAAAAGTTTTATATAAAAAATCCATTTGTGATCTGTTTGGTCCTTTAAATTTTCACTTGCTTTATTTGGAAATTCTGCTTTAGTTCTGCCAACCTGATTTCTGGAACTGCAATGAAAAATTCTAAGGCCATGGTACCATGACCATCCCAGTTACAGTAACCTGGCACTCCTGACTACACTAACAAAGTCTTAGGGTAGGGTAAATGGCCTACTTTCCTCTCTGCAGGCTGTTTCCATTCCATGGGCTCTGGTGGGCTGTAGGGCAAAGCCCCTTCTTTAACTGCCTTGCAGATAAAAGAGTTTTACACCCAGATGCCTAAACATTGCTAAGTGTCCACACCAGCCCCACAGTCGTAGATCTTTACTACAATAAAAGGCCACTGTTTGACCATCAAAATGGGAATTTGTGACCTTTACTTTGGGTACCCAAATAGCAAGCACTTGTCCTGGTGTAACAAATGCTTCCAATTCTGATGCCTGRAATGCAGTGTGCTGAGCACATGATGCTGGCCTCTCTTTAAAATCTTCCASAAGGAAACAGGCAATAAGAGAGAAAGTGTCGCTGTTGGCCAGACAGCAGACACAAAATAATAAACACAAAGACACACATATACACACACAAAAAAGTAACCCCTTTATTGTGGGACAGGCCTCTTTTATCCACTTTAGCAACCAGTGCATACATTTGTGTCAAACATACATTGGTCAGTGAGGCTGTCACTTTCTATTCATCAGCATAAGATTGGCAGGCTTGCAAAAGCTACAATATTAGTAATGTTTATAATTGTAAGCCACCTGCATTATCAATTCTACATTCCAATCTCTTTTTCTCCAAGCAGCCAAGGATGTGGTGTTTTTCTCCCATGCAAGCTGTTAACACTTCCTACAAGGAAGGGCATAGGTTTAAAGCCTATTGCTTTTGACTAGAGTATACCCATTTATTTGAGGGATGCACACTTTTATTTCACTTCTATTATGACCTAGATAGTAATTAAACAGCAGAAGGAATTTTKCTATGTAACTTTGTGATCCTAAGAGAGCTGTCTCTGGCTTGCTTCTTCTTGCAGACCCTTCTCAGTAAGACTGATGCTGGTCCTCTCCTTGACCCTTGTTWATCTGGYATCAGAGGAGTTCTGCCACTGCAAWGCTAAACAATGTGCCTCATGGCCCTTCAGCTGTCAGGCTATGCAGGAGTCAGAGGGGAAAAGGGCACCCTTTGGAAAGATGCAGACTGTGCAGTCAGCATCTGTGTGTGCATACATGTGCACATCTGTGTACACAGCAGGGAGCTGGCAGGGCTGATCAAGGGTTAGTGCATTTGCACCAGGGAAAGGATGCACTCTGGCATTTCACTGCAGTTAACTACATGCTCTTGTCCGTCTCCTTTTCCCAAATTCATGAAAGTTTCTGCTCCCCTTGGTCACTTCATTGAGCATATCAACTGTCTTTCTACAAGACTGTCAGAACACCACTGCACTTTACAGCTGCCCTGTGCATTCATCACCTTCCTYTCATTTCACTGCCCTCCACATAACRAAATGCAGCAGAGGTGTTTATATGTCCTTTCTGTCCTTTGCTCTTCTCYTGGTCCCTTATTTCACCTTGCTTTCAAACCACTTTTGCTTCCTTCTTTCACCTACAGGTTCTTTTGGGGGGCAAGAGTAGAGGTGACTACCAACTAGGCAAGCARTGACCTCATGTCATTTCCTTATCCTCAAACTCCCCCTCCCATGCCTGATTGCTGGAGTTCTGCTCTTGTATCGAGAAATGCAGTCTGACCCCTCAAGTTTCTGTGGTTACTGTCCTTGTAATAATGAACATTCTCTCTAATGTATAAACATTGCAAACTATAGAGGAAGTCATTGAAAGAAACACTGGAAAGTCCCTGAAAAATACTTCTAACTCTTGTTTAGAAGAACAGAGAATGCAAACATGRGTTTCTCAGCCTCAACTTCTCTGTCTGTGCTGAATATTGACTAACATAAACATAATGTTGGCTAATATAAATACCATTGGTTTGTGTTAGGTGACAAATGCACGATCYATGCTTTACTTACTTTTGATTATGGATTGCTTCCCATTCTAAAATGACWGCATTTCTTATGCCCTTAACATGGGAAAATCCCATTTTCCCCAGCAAAATTACACACAGGACTGACTTYATATTGCAGATTTTTTTCAAGTCTTGTTTATAACAAGCTATCATGAGCAACACTACAGGAATTTGATCCTGGCAATGTCATGAACAGAGAGACAGGACATGTGAGWGAGAGCATGGRTCACCTGGGCTTCCTTTTACTTGGYGCAGCACTGCTTGAAAGAGTAAGAATGTGTGAGAATGAGCCACCGTGTGGGGGCAAAGYGCAGGCACAGATGAAACAATTACAGTGCAGTTAAAAGGATAGGTTTCCAACTGAAAGCCAGTAGCTATTCCCAGGTGCTCAGAAAAGTACTGCCACCTTCTAGAGAGGCAGATAATTAATCATATGCAATAGATGTGTGATTTCTGYTCTCCCTTTGGTCAGGCTTTTGCAGAAGTAAAAAATAAAGGAGAAGCAAGATATACCAAGCCCAGGGAAGGACTAAAGAGCAGAACCTGAAACACCACCTGCCACCCGTTGCTCTYACTGAAAAGTAAGAGTTTGTCCATGCAAGTGTCAGACCTTGGTGTGAAAAGCATTTAGTCACCCAATACAAACAGTGACAATCAAGTGACTTGTCAAAAAACCTGATGTTTGAAAGCTTTGTGTTTGATTTATCAATAACCAATAAAGTAATGAATGCACAGCCACGCAGGCGGTTCATTGCTGAGCTAGACATTGCCAGCAGCAAACCAGTAATTGAGCCAATAAAAACATGTTTGCTGAATTACTTACTGCATCCCTGTTGTCAAAATTCTRTCAGGTCCTCGTTTTCTGCTTTCTTCTCTGTTTGGTACTTCACCTCTGACAGCAAAGTCCATCATTCTGCAAAAGAGAAGCAATTTATGTGAGCAATGTTCACTGTGACCACAACTTTAATAAAAAGAGCCAAAGAAAGCAAGCTTTATTGTAGCTGGATCGTATTGAACCCTGCTGCTTTACCCACYCCTAGTTAACACCAAGGAAAACCCAGGTGGTTTTTTCAATATACAGGTCTTTCACCAAAGTCATCAGGAAACTCACTTGAGGAAGAAATGTGGGAAGGAGCTGTCAATGTACCTGCACATGCCTGACCTGTTAGTAGGCCAAATGCTACAGAGTCATTACTGTGTTGAAAAATTCTCTTAATACTGTTCTTGCTCGGAGGAAAGGACGACAGAGAGCATGAAATGTCTTCTGATACTAAAACGACTATTAAAAAAGGAATAAGAAGAAAATGCATGACAGGTACCTTRTATAGCTTGTTTCAAATAGTGTGTGCACCAGGAATATGAGCCGGGCCATCCAGATGGAAAGTCTACTGATGGAACAGTGCTTCCCTAGAAAAATGCAGATTCAAACAAACCGAAAACTTAATTAGAAAGCCATGATTTTGTCAAGTTCAAGTATATATTCAAGTGTTAATGGCAAAGTTCATCTAAATTAAACTAATCTTAGCTCACAGCAAAACAGTTTTTGGAGCTAAATATGCAATATGTTTGTACTTCATGACAGAGCTGGATCCCCAGCAGTAGTTATATGTGTTAAGGAGCAGCACCCTGTCATAGCCGGAGAATACTATGAAAAWTACTGGTGTAAGTAAAAAGAGGTAACATAGTGAGGATGAGAGGATACTAGCAGTATATAACCTCTGACTTTAGACAGTACTAGGTAGCAGTGACTTTACATTTTGCAGATCAGAAAATAAATCATTCCTAATCAAAACCCTGGAGAAAATAAGCCTGGTCCCTCAGAGAGCCATGTTAAAAGATTTCTAGGCCATGATAAAAGCTGACTTTAGACTTGTACCTGGGACACATCCTCCAAAGCCATTCTCGTGCAGTTAGGCAAGGTACTCACTTGTTGTAGTGTGACATCTCTTGTTTAATTGTCTTTTAGCTTTCCTGGGCCTGCCRCCAATGTATAGTTGCCACTACAGGTGCCAAGACAAATAAATACCAGCTGAGGAAAGTCACAGAGCCAAAGTCTGCAACAAAGCAACTGAATCACTTCCTTCATGTAATGAATTAACAACTGGATATCCTGAAGGTGATTGAGCCATGTGGTTTATTCCCTTTACATACCATGTCAGTGCCTGCCTGAGCTGGGACTGCTTTCTGTGCCCTGCTAACCCCGAGACCCAGGCTAAGGACACTGAGGGATTTCACAGAATCAGAGAATSCTGGAGTATCTTCACAGAGCAGCTCATGCGRAAGAGCACAGGCAAAGTGRGTGACTTGAACRGGTTTTGAATGATCACCAATWGTGGTGAGTTCTGTCCCAGATTCRCTGACACCACCACTCACRATAACTAATTTAAACTTAATGYAAGATGATYTTCAAGRCCCCCTTCCAACCCAAACCACTCCACRATTCTGTCTGTACCACTTGCACCCAATGCACGGCAAACTAATCTGCAATGAAAGAGCTACAGCAGCAGATAGAAAAGAATTCAGCTTTTGAAAGTGTTATTGTCTGTTCCCTGTCTTTTCCTTACTTGCTAAAGGGATTATGCCAAAGGAAGTGGAGGGAGACCAGGAAAAGGATATAATTCAAGAGAGCTCTGCTACAGCTCAGCCTTGTTGTTGCTWTCATCTGGACTGAAGAGACCCTACTCACTTTCCCATGGAAGGGAGCTAGAAGTGATCTGAAGTCTGCAAGCACTTGCTCAGGCAGGTGGTTGTAGTAATCCCAGAGAAGTAATCCCAGAGACACACATTTCCCTTGYTCCAGGCCTTTTTGTGCAAGTACTGGCACACAGGACTGGGTTCTGTACCATCTGCTGCATCGCAGCATGTCCAMGACCTCTCTGACTGCTGCTCTTCTTGGCACATCACTTTGAGGGAGAGCTGGCTGYAGAGTTTCACACATTGCTGCTCCATGTCTAAAAACAGTCTCACACTCCAGACCCCAGGAGACTTCTGGTATTTCCTCAGCAGTAACCACTGTGGAATGAGCCTGGTGGGTCAGTTCTTGTGAGCAGTCATGCAAGCATAAAGCCAAGCGCTATCACGTAGACTGTCCTTACTCATGTGTACAGTGCAAGAACAACGTGTAATGTGGCTGYACATGAGTGACAAGGAGTGATCTGCCCCCCCAATCCATTCAGAGCTGGATGTGCCAGTGATGACCACAAGCAGATTATCTGTGCATCATCCTACGTGCTTATTGCCTCAGTTTGCTAYAGCTGGGCAAATCCTTTTTCATTCTAAGAACATGGCACTTCCTCAGGACAGCCAYATGGGAACTCGCAGTCTAACGTTTGTGTGGCTATAACCTGGAGGCAATGGTGATTCCACCCCCATGATCTCAAGGGATCTCAAGGGATCCCAGGGAAGGCTTTTTATTAGTGGCTCCCCGTAAGCTGACCATGTAACTTCCTTTCAAGACCAAGTTAAAGGCCAGCAGCTTCCAAGGATGTCATTATCAAGCTGYRGCTGGAAAGGGGCCCAAATTAATCMTTAGMTATTTCCTGATAACATRGRGCAATCACCRTTTGCTTGTGACMTAGTCTTCCTACAGGGCTGATCTCCTGAGGGACTAAGCCAGCAGCTAYATGAACCAGCTAAGCTGTAGACAATGAAGCTCAGGAATGAGTCTCTGTGTCCCACCTGTTTGCTGTCTACTGAATCCCCTGCTAGGACTGCTTTACACACTGTATAGTATCTCTTATGRGTCCTGACTTGGTTTTGTTTTCAGACAGTAAATCTAATCTAAGGCATKTGGGGAGCTGGGGCAAGACACACAGCAGCCTGACCCCAGAACAATTTGGTTTGCTGAACCCCACTCAAGTTCACAATTGCCTGAGGAAGAAAATAGATCAGCTACAAAAAAAAACCCAACCCAAAAAACAAACAAACAAACAAACAAAAAAACCCAAAAAACAAAAAAAACCCACCAAAATAAATTAACAAACAATGCACAAAATTATATTTCTTACTAAAACTTATTACACAAGGAAGTGTGRCGACCATAACTGAACTAAACCTATGTGTAAATAAAACTCAGAWAAACTGCATCTTATTTTCATTAAAAGCTCACAGAAGACTGCTTTTTTTTTGCTTTTGTATAACAGAACTTGCAAAATGCCTTGACAGCAATGAAGAAAAAGAGAGTGACTGATGTGTGCAGAGCGGAATGGAAGGCTTGCAGTAGCGGAGTGTAGGAATGGAAATCTGAGGGTCTCCTAGCCACAGCAAAAAAAAGATGTGCAGTTTTCAAAAGGCAGGTGGAGAAAGGGGTGCTSAGGGGAGCAATGCCGAGTGAATAAAAGTGTGTGATTGCACAGGGTTAGGCAGCAAAGCAAGCTCYAGAGCCAACTCTCCTTTGGCTCAGCACCCTGCAGCGTGAAAGCTAATGGAGAACCCCACAAAAAAAGTCTCAGCTTCTTTGAGAGAGTGGGGTCCCAGCAGACCCTGGGCAATCCTCGAGATGGTGCAGAGCCATGCTTCCCTTGCTCCCTGACCTGAAGAAGCCGCTCTGCCGGGGSCAGCCCGCTCTTCTCTCTCCGCCCTGCTCCTTCAGCACCACACGCACACCGGTGGAAAAGAGCCAACGGGACAATGCCCCCCGGCTCCACTCCGGGAAATTCCCCGGCAGCTCCCGGCAGGGAATAAAAGCACGGTTGGGTAAAGGGGCCGCCCCGCCGGTTTCCGCATCCCTCCGTCKCCAGCACCAGCTATGAACCCGCACCTTCGCCTCCTCGTCCTGCTGGCCACCGCCGCTCTCTGCCAGGGTAAGCGGCCGAGCCGGAGTTACCCATCCGTCTGCGGCCGGGCCTCGGCGGGGAGGGGGTGCGCGGGGGACCGGGGAGTGTCGGGGGACTCCGGAGCTGGGGCTCAAAAGGTTCCTCCCGCCCGCCAGGTGCGCCGCTGGCCGGGGAGCTGCGCTGCCGCTGCGTGCGGACCGTGTCCGAGGTGATCGCGCCGCGGCGCCTGGCCCGCCTGGAGTTCCTCGCTGAGGGGCCGCACTGCGCCGTGCCCGAGGTCATGTAAGTGCCTGGCCCCGGCCGCGACCCTCCACCCTCCGCCCCGACCTCACTTTCTCCCTGTCTCGCACGCAGAGCCACGACAAAGCAGGGACAGATGGTCTGCCTGAACCCCATCGCGCCCTGGGTCAAGCTCCTGGTCACCAGGATACTCCGCAGGTACCTGCCGGGCCGGCTGCTGCCAGTGTGTGGGGTCAAACTTTGCCTTTRGAGGGGCTTAAACCCAAGAATAATGAGCCACATTCCACCATTGATTCCTGTAGGGAAATCTGGCTAGTTACACTAAAAATGTGCCCAGAAGCTGGCTTTGTCGCGAAGAGACAACCCAGCAGGTTGGCAAGTAARGTATTACACAGCAAATGCCTGATTAATTGCAAATCTAGCCTCATTATGGTCCACCATCACCATCAGGCATCTTTTCCACACCTCCTACGGGATTTATTATCCTAGGGGACTTATTATCTTGGGTATGGAAGAAAATGTAAGGAAATATTTCCTGACTGACTTTACAAATTGAATTCTGCCTGTTGCAGTTCATCTAACAAACTCTGAGGGAAGGAACATCTCAGAACGCAGTTACCTGTGTTTGCCACAAGATACCAGGAAACAGATGCTATGAGAAGAGAAGAGCTCAGCTCTCTAGTTTTGATAAGTTTGTAGATTGCATGTTCTATGTTTAATCTCCCCTCCTCATATTTGTTATTGCCTAATTCTATGTATGGATTTATTGACTGAGATAAAGGGATTGAATCCATTTGATAAAAGAGCAGAAGCTTTGCCAGACACCTCTCAGCAACGTTCTCAGAGTTTGTTCCACATTTGTGCAAGCTCCTTCTTGCCAAATACCATTTACCAATAAGTTATTATAAAACAGCATTAATATCTGAAAAGGAGATGGGCCCATCGTGGAGATGGTTTTGYAAATGTCTGCAAAGAGTGTGAGGGGAGAGGTTTGAATGGATTGTGCAAATAATTGGGGGAAATCCTTCTGTTAGGAACCACAGGAGTGCTGTTGGGTACTTAACATATCAGTGCCTGTCCAGGGTTAAATGGGAATAAAACCTGGTTCAAGCAAAAATGTTTTGCTGAATCTTTTTTCTCCACTCCAACTCACCAGCCTTTACTGCAAAATRCCTTGGATCTTTTTTTCACAAGATCCCATGCAATGAAATCACAAATTTTGCCCCTGAAGTCTTGCTTCTATTCAATACTTCGATGGGTTTTATGATTTCTATGAAATTGTGGGGGTTTGTGCCATGATTGGTTTGGATTTTAACCAGAYAATGTTGGGATTGGTTAGTTGGTTTGTTTTTAAATGAGTTTACATTTAAGTATTTGGTATTTATGCTCAAGATCTAAAGGAACAGTAAATGTTCTGAAGAAACTTAGATATTTTATGTCTACTTGTATGACATACTGTCATAACTCAAAAAGAATAAGTAATTTTCATTATTCTGCTTTCAAAGGTTGTATGTAAAGAGGTGGATTTTTCATGATAATGTAGTGAAATATATGATGCAATTAAAATGTTTTCCTGTTGAAAAATATACCGTGTTTTTTTTTTTGTGAAGTCCATGTTAAATGGACCTGTGTATCTGTCAGTTGGGCAAGTGGGATGCAGGGAAGCAGTGACCCCTGGGCGCATGAAAGGATTCCTGCACACACCTGCAGACCAACTCTCTCTGAAGGGAACTTTGTATTAAGTAAATGCATTTTTATATTCAGGGGCATATTATTTAAACCCTGCAGTCAGAGCTGCTGATGTGAGGAGAGATCAGCCCCAGGGTGGATGCATTGAATGCAAGCACATCCCTGCAATCTGCAGGAATTTCTATTCTGTTTTAACTTGAAGTGGGGTTGTGTTTAAAGTTAGGCACAATTTGCTAGGTGGGAAGTAGCGACATTGTATCCTATGGTAAGAAACAGTAAAAGTTTGCAACTTTTACTTTGTTACCAGGAAAAAAATTGTTCAGATCTCGGCCGTAACAAGGATCCCTGACACTTTTAAAAGACAAGAATCCCCATGTCTGGATTCCACAGTGCAAACAATTTCCTCCATCASTAGATACACAGTACTTGTTTAGCAACTGACAAATGAATTGCTCTTTGCRCATGTTATCMAACAAAACCTTATCTGAAGGCACARCTATATCTTGGCCATATTGACATGGCTGAGTTCTGAGTGTTCTGTTACACCTGAGGRAAGCTCGCTTATCCTCAGAACACGGGACAGACAAACTAAGGTGCATGGAAATCTGTGTCCTTTGCAAGAACTAGAGAAAACCGTAGATGATAGAGAGAACAATGTAGAAACTTCTGTTCCCAGCCTCGCCAGGGCCACAACATACCCATGATTTGAGAACATGAACAGTTCTTTCCTTTCCCAGCCACCATTATGTTCCTGCCATTTAAAGGTGACCTGAAACTRTTGCTCCCTCTTCAGAACCTTGAGAAAGTCCTGCCTGCACTGGCCACCACTCAAAAAAACTCCAGTATGTCTACACACGTAATGGCTTTTCCCCCAGGAATGATCTCCATCTGAGATGATCACACTGCCCCATTGCACAATGTCTGTCTCAGGGGCAGCATGGATTCCAGCGAGAGCAACATCCAGCTTCCCTTGTTCACAGCAGCACATATGCAAAAAACCCCAAGGCAGATTTTTCACTTTTCCTGCCTATTACATGCCAAAGACCAGGCCAAAAAAAATCTGACAATAACCAGATTATTTCAAAGGTGGAAACATACAGCTTACATGCAGGAATAGATGCCTATTTTATATACTATTTTTGAAAACCATGGCTCAGTAAAAAATTCTACATTTTTTTTCCCTTCTGCTCAATATCATATGTTTCTCTTCCAATGCAAGTTAATCTACCACAACAGCAATGGAAATATCTTGTGCAACTCTGGATTTTTGCCTCCCACCCAATTTCCAGCAGGAAAGTACATTGCCCAACAAAAAACACTAGTAAAACAGGACACATCAAAAGCATCTCAGGTTTCTCAAGTCCTTCCATTTTTTAAAAATTCTCAAGATGTTAAGCATGAAGAAAGTTAATCTTCACTGTACCCTAAGATATTCAGATAAGTGCCTGTAGATAAGTCAAATGTGTGTCACAGTAAGCATATCATTGCAACTTAGAACTCCAGTTAACACTTGCAATTGATTTTTCTTTTTTTCCATGGAACCAGAAAGAGGGTTTGGTTTCCACACAGAATTCCAGCTTTGAGTAAATAGCATATTCTGTGTTATATTGTAATGAACTTGACAAACAGAAAACATTTATAAAATATTTAGAGGAATGACTAGGAAATTGTTTTATACTCCATAGCTGCAGACTGTGGAGGCAAAATGCTTTCACAGAGGAAACAGAAACTGCTTACTCTGCAAGTGTACTCAAAAATTATGACTGTCATTATCTGAGCAATGTGTCTGTCGTTTGTAAAGGCCTTTCCACGAAAGCAGGAAAAGTCCTTGAAAAATATATTCCATTTAACATTAAAACCAGAGGAACACCTGCAAAAACMCAGCCAAACACCTTGTACCATGGATCTGAGCTCACTACTCTCTTCCATACAGAAAGAGTGCACTCAGAAACTGTCACCTGCAAAGACAGCAACAATTATTATAAGGTGTAGGGGGTTKTGCCACTACTGTTTGATTAAAGTAGCTGAACACATTACAAGTGAAGGAGCTATACTTAAACAATTTCCCCAAATTTCCCCAAGGATAAATAAAAAGCAGTTTCTTATAACCTCTGCATAAATGGCTTGGCACAAAACAAAGAAATAGCATACACGTTTTTTTAAATAAAGCTCCCCTACCGGCTGACGAGATTTACCTTAAGAATGAGCTTCTCCCTCCCTCAGCATCGCCCTTCCCTCAGCACCGCCCTTCCCTCAGCACCGCCTTTCCCTCAGCTCCGCCCGTCCTCACGGTCCCCGGCTCTCAGCATCTCTTGTCCCTCTCCATCTCCCACCCTCAGATTCTCCCGCTCAGCGCTACCTGGATCCCGCTGCTTGTCCCGGCTCTTTCCCTCGTCCTTTGGCTGAGGCGCCGCTTCCACCCGTGGGGTCCGACCGACATGGCTGCGATCACCACAGGCTCCTTCTCCTTCTCCTTCTCGGCGCCGCTGCTCCCGGGCCGTGCGCTGCCGCTGAACCTTCACCCTCCCGGCTCCCCGGGCCGCCGGCAGCGCCAGCAGCTCCCCTCGCAGGGCCGCCAGGCACTCGGAGCCCATCGGGGACTTTTGCTCCTCGCTCCTTCCTCCTCACTGCCCTCATCCTCCTCCTCAGTCCCCTCATCCTCCTCCTCAGTCCCCTCATCCTCCTCCTCACTCCCCTCATCCTCCTCTTCCCCCTCACGCAGTGGCGGGAAGCGCGCGAGGGCAAAAAGGGCGGGAAGCGCCTGAGGGGACGCCAAGGAACATTCTATCAGTGTTTGGGATCGAATGTGAAACGAACGTTCTGGTATTACTTTTAAGAAAGGAAACAAAATAAGTGCCAGTAAAATCGGTGATGAACACTYACAATGCCATTGACAAATATTACTGGATCATTTAAATCCATGTTTTCATGGACAAACAAGGAAATAATTTAGGTCTGATTTATCYGAAGTAGCAGTTTCTGTACTACAAAATAAGAGGCTGACAATAACTATTCCGACTAGAAGTAGCACCAACTCTTTTTACATAGTGAGGTTCTCCAAATTGTGTAATATATTTGCATAAGTGTWTGCTATTTTGAATTTTTCACTGGTTTTCATTAGTAAAACAAACTAGGCATTCCATTGGGATTGCAAGGAATATAAAATGTGCTCTAAATTTAAGCAAATTCTGTTCAGACTTTGCCATTTCCCAGGGCAGTTCAGATAGTCTCARTTTGTACTAGTGAGGAGTATTTGCCTTGCCACGACTCTTTCTGAAGACTCTGACTCCTTACAGGACTCTGCAGCAATGACAATGAGGTGATGCTTGAGCTCCCTGCCAGGAGTACAACAGCAGAGAACATGGATTTTCAGCCTCGGGAAGCATCTCCTAAGCTTGATTGACACATCTTAATTTGGTTTACGTTGTCTTTTGGCTTCTTCTAAAATAATCATTAAGAATTACAAATGTTGCCAAGCTACTACTAGCGTGTAGTCTAACCATACAAAATTACCAATTGGCTCTGATAAGGAGATCTTCTGGTGGATCTTACATAAAAGTTTATTCTGTTACAGGAAATAAAATCTTTTTTTTTTCCTTTTTTTTTTTTTTTTTTTTTTTTTTTTTTTTTTTTTTTTTTTTTTTTTTTTTCTGATTGCAAATCATTCAAACAAACCCAGCATTTTATGCTGCTTTTACTTGGGTATGCAGATACAATTATCACTGCTACTCAAGTCAATAAAAGGTGTCTTTATGAATTTAAAACAAAACAAATCCACACTGAAGTTCCCATACCTATTATGTCCATTAGATCTAATCACTAGGTGACTAAAAGGTTTGGGAAAGCACTCATTTTTAGACAATTGCGGAAAGTAACTTCACTCCAGATAAGTCACATAACTGAAAAAAACCCCCTGGAAATTATATAATACCAGGTTATCATTTTCAATGTATTTCTCAYGTTAAAAGTTCAGCAAAGATTTTGTACTGCTGATGTTATCTGTAKGAGTGTCCCTAAGATCGTGGCATTTTCTCTATTGAAAGTTGTGTGCATTTTTCCAAAGCATTTTGAAAATTATGCAGACCTGGAAAGAGTTATGCATGTACATACTACAGTGGGTATTCCCTCCTCTATCTTCCCAATGTCACCATATTCTATGTGGGGAATTAGACACACTGTAGCAGTAGTGYGCCACTGCTCTATAGTTCCCGACTCTTCACATCTGGTTGGTTGGGGGTTTTTTAGGTTTTTTTTTCAAACAGCAGAAAGTTTGTATCCAGAGAGTTAAAATTCTCTACCTTTCCGTTGCTGACTTGTGCGCTTTTTCTGTCAGGCAAGAACCGATGGCTGCTGCCTAGGTTTCCATTCTGGAGGCTGCACAGGTGTTTCGTTCAGAGCCAACAGTGGAATGTGGGCGTTTATGATGGAGATGAGAGGCTGGACAGGGCTGAACAAACTGGGAAAAGCCGTGCCTGCCGTGCCGCTGGCGGGGTCCGTCCCGAAGGGCGAGGGGAGCGGGAGCCGAGCCTGCCTTCCCCTCAGGCGCTTCCCGCCCTTTCTGCCGCCGCGCGCTTCCCGCCACTGCGTGAGGGGGACGAGGAGCATGAGGGGACTGAGGAGGAGGATGAGGGGACTGAGGAGGAGGATGAGGGGATTGAGGAGGAAGGAGCGAGGAGCCAAAGTCCCCGATGGGCTCCGAGTGCCTGGCGGCCCTGCGAGGGGAGCTGCTGGCGCTGCCGGCGGCCCGGGGAGCCGGGAGGGTGAAGGTTCAGCGGCAGCGCACGGCCCGGGAGCAGCGGCGCCGAGAAGGAGAAGGAGAAGGAGCCTGTGGTGGTCGCAGCCATGTCGGTCGGACCCCACGGGTGGAAGCGGCGCCTCAGCCAAAGGACGAGGGAAAGAGCCGGGACAAGCAGCGGGATCCAGGTAGCGCTGAGCGGGAGAATCTGAGGGTGGGAGATGGAGAGGGACAAGAGATGCTGAGAGCCGGGGACCGTGAGGACGGGCGGAGCTGAGGGAAAGGCGGTGCTGAGGGAAGGGCGATGCTGAGGGACGGGCCATGCTGAGGGAAGGGCGATGCTGAAGGACGGGCGATGCTGAGGGACGGGCGGTGCTGAGGGAAGGGCGATGCTGAGGGAAGGGCGATGCTGAGGGAAGGGCGATGCTGAGGGAAGGGCGATGCTGAGGGACGGGCGGAGCCGCCGGTCGATGTGACAGGGACGTGGCGCCTCAGGCTGGAACCACGCAGACGATGCCCCAAACTAGGGCTTCAGCTGCAGCCTTTGGTTGCAGTGACTGTTCCCGTCAGAGTGGAGTGAGCAGACACTGAGCTCCACACACAAGCATGGATGCCCCTCACAGTTGCACCCTCGTGTTTTCTGAGGGTGAAGTCTCGTGGAATTGCTTGCAACTCGCATATTGGTGCTTTCTGTCACTTTAAATGGCAGATTACATAGGAAAAAATTCTCTGTGGAGAATGGAAGAAGAAAACAATGCGAGATCTGAAATGGCATGTGACATCATGCCAAAGTAACAATATCACACTCACCAGCCTTCTAACAGTGGGCAAATTCCTTATAAAGTTGGGAAAAGCTTTGGAAAGGTGTGTCAGCTTAGTGAGGCTTCATGTTCTGCTATGGTCCTGGCAAAATTTTTGAAGAGTTTAGTGTTTCTGAAAGGAATGTGGCTGGGGTGCTTCCACAGAGAGTGCATGCCGGGTTTTAATGGTTTGCCCTTTCTAAAATATTATTCTTATCAAATTATGCCCTAAATAAAACCATCCCATTGTATGATGAATGCTTCTCATAAAATCTGCTATGCAAATTTGGACTGAAAAAGTGATGCGCTTCGAAAGTATATTGGTTACAAAATCATTGATAGATTTAGGCGGAAGCAAGCATAATCTTGCTTTCTACAGCAACAAACTGTCTATATAACTTGGACAGCAGGATACTGGGTATTTCTGGAAAAAAATGAGCAAAAGTGAAAGTCACAGGGGTATTGTGTCTGTGACAGCTTGTGTGATACTGTGTGCTGTGACAGTCTTAAAATGCGCATCAATAATCCAGATTGTGCCTTTACCTTTGTATATACATTATTAGAGGATTATACGTTATAAAAGGATAGTTATAAATGTTATTTGTAAATGGGATGCTATGTGGGAAACAAGCCACCAGGAGGAGCCCATCCCACACGTTGGTGTCGCCTTACACTGACTCCTCTCACTAGTCTGGCTTTTCGAAGTTTAGATAAATGCCGGGGCGATCATTGTTGATGGTCTTAGCTGCATYTCTTGCTGTGTGATCATTATCTGAAATGTAAAATAAGAACCTCCAGGTCGCATGTTTTAATGTATTTTGACCTTCGGACGCGCTCCTGGATGGTGGTAGCAGGGAAACAAACAGGAGCACAAGTTCTGTCTGCCATAGCAGTCAGCTAAAGCAGAAGGGACACAAGCAGTTGATGTCTAGGAAATGGAAGAGAACTAGATTCAAGATGGGAATACATATTTAGGATCTTGAAGGGAAATAGAGACATAAAAGCACAGGGATTCTTTTAAAAACTCTTCGCCTATGCTTTTCCTGCAACTATGCCAGGAGTCCTCATGTCAACACTTGGAAAAGTCTTGACTCGAATACGCAGGGCCCGTCCTCASGATCTCCTGCCCCCACGATCTCCTGCCCCGTCCTCCTCTCCAGCCCTGCCCTGAGCACCGTCCGTCGCTCAGCATCTCCCGCTCCCAGCGCCTCCCGTCCCTCCTCTCCTCTCCGCCCCGCCGCGATCCCGGTGCCGGCAGTGGCCCCACCTCCTCCTCTCGTCGCTTGGTTGCGGTGGCGCTGCCGCCCCCGGCCACCGACAGAAATGGCGGCGGCCACCACAGCCTTCTCCTTCTCCTTCTCCTCTGCCTCTTCCTCCTCTGTCTCGCTGCTGCGGCCGGGCTGGGCGCCCCTGAGGCGGTGGCGAACCCTCACTCGCAACATCAGCAGCTCCCCTCGCAGCGCCGCGAGGTACCTTGCGCCGATCGGGTCTTTTCCCTCTTCATTCTCCTCTTTCCTCCTTCTCATCCTTCTCCTCATCCGCGTCCCGCTCAGTCGTCCTCAATCATCCTCGTCCCCCGATCGCCCTTCGGGGTGGGTACCCTCGGATCCCCGCTGAGTTGAGCGGTTCTTCCCGGGAAAACGGGGCTCTGTCCCTGCGGGAKGGCGCGCGACAAGCGGGCCGCGGCCCTGGCCTTGGTCATCTCTCGGGGATTAAGCAGTGACCCTGAAATTGAAGTAGCCCTTGCCATGTGACCTTCCTGCYCTCTCATTGAGGGGAATCTGTGACTACACATTTGTGCTCCTGGTGCCTTAAAGAGCCTGTCAGTGGATTTATACAGGATTACTGTATGTATTCATCATTTGGTGGCAAAAAGGGCGTGCTTTGGTGCAGTGAGGAGCAGTGTTCTGTCAGTAATTACCCTGTATGTTTAATTTATTGCACTGAAAGCGTTGTCTTTGCTCTGTGATTTCAAGAATGGAAAGATGAGTAAGCTGAACAGCCATTGAAATAAGCATCTGACCCCTTGGATCAATGTTCTGTGTATCGACAATTGGTTCTGTCAGTTTTGGGAGAAATARCTGTATTTCTGGACCAGTGCATATCCTACTTCTGTTTTGTGCTGCTAGTAATTGTTTTTTCCAGTTCTGCAAAACATGGATGTTCCTGCACTAGTAAATTCTAGAGGTTTTCATGTGGCATGTATGGGACATACAAGGTTCTGTTGTGGTGCTCAATATGATCTCAGGCTTTTAGTGTACAAATTGATCTAAAATAGCAGCTCAGATCTTTGTTTCTGTCATGTCCTGCAAGTCACTGCATTCATAAATGACAATAATTCGGTGAATTTTCTGTTGTAAATCCTTGCTGGGTTCAGAATAAGAGCATCCATGGGCAGGTGGGATAACAGTGGTACAGGAGGTGTCCTGTGCCTTAAGTCTGTCATTTAACTTGGTCATGAAATCTCTCACAAATCTGTCATTAAACCTGTCATTGACCAACACCTGGTCAAGGTTTTAATTTGTATAAAATTTAAAACTATAGTAATTCACGTCTTAGTTTCAGTGTCTTGAAAAGCCTGCTGCAGTGTAAGCTTTCTGTACAGGCGATGCTTCATTAGTTCATGCAGTTATTGTATGATATTTCTATGAAAGGAAWTAAGCTATTTAGATTCTAAACCTAAGAAATATCAACATATTTCAGATTTGATATTTTTATATTTTACACTTGTGAGAAATGCTATTTACCATCTCCCTTCCCAGCAGCTATGAAATATGAGAAATATTCATATCATTGAGGCTTGGAAAAAAGAATAGTGTAAATAATCCCATGTCAAATCCATTTTTAAGGTAATTGGGGAGGGAAGTGGGTAAGCACTCCTTAAACCAGTAAAACCTTGGGGCATAAGAATGTTCTCATTTTTATTCCAACATGCAGGAGTTCATGTGTGTTTATTTGGCTGGCTATGTGTATTGGGAAGGTGAGTTGTGGCTGGTAGGCTCCTCTTCCATGTGCACTGATGGCACATCCCTGCTCTTCAAATGAGAGAGTGGGGCAGCACTTCTTTTCCCACATGGATTTGTAGCGTGTTCATGTTTTTCAAATACTGTTTGAAAAGCCAGCAGACAAATCAAAACATTTGGCATTGTTTAAAATGGTAGATCATACAATTAAAGGTGTCWTTTTCTTGGTGAAATTTTAGACCTAAATATTGTGTATATTTTTGTCTTTGTAGTGATGAAGCCACTGTTATCTCAGGGACAAAGCTTGCTCACCAAGTTCTGAAAGAAGTTCAAAGGGAAGTAGAATTGTGGATTTCTGCTGGGAACCAGCGGCCTCACCTCACTGTCATATTAGTAGGAGACAATCCAGCCAGTCATATTTATGTCAGGAACAAGATAAAAGCTGCTGCAGCTGTGGGTATGTCGTACAAGTGATCCTTTAGTAAGCACAAGATGCTGTTTCAAAATAAAAAAATAAAGCGGGAGGAATCCCCTTAGTGTCGTAATTTAATTTTGTACCAATTTCTTCCATGTTTTCTCTGATGAACCTAAATAAAAGAATTTTCATGGATCTATGAAAAAAAGGAGTTTTAATGTGACTTGAATGGGAGCCGTAAGTTTCATTTTGTCTCTTACAATGTTAGGAAACMGTTGTTAAGCATCAGACAGATTTTTGGACTAAATGACTAAGCTGCGCATCACTAGATTTCCTTATTCTAACATGCCTTCTGTTTTTTTTTTTGTCAGGCATTTCTAGTGAGATCATACTGAGGCCTAAAGACATTTCACAGGAAGAGCTCTTGGATATGACAGCAAAACTCAACAAAGATTCAAGAGTTAGTGGTTTATTAGTTCAGCTACCTCTCCCAGGTGGGTGACATCTTTGTCCTCAGATACAGTCCATGTAAGAGGAAAGAGTTTCATAGGTCTGGGCTGCAAGTGTGTCTTAAGAGCATAAGAAGCTCTCAAAAGAGGACATGGCATAATGAAGGATTAGCTGAGATGTTAATTTTTTTATGTTCAACCTACAGTTGGTTTTAAAGAAAAAAACAAATCTGAGAATAATTTCATATGCCAAACTTGACTTTTTTAATGATCAATAGAGTGGTGTTTCAAGACATTTCACATATTTTATCCAGTTTAATTATCTTTATTTCTTTTAACATGTTGCACTGCTTTGCCTTGAGTTCCAGACTTTCATCCCCTGTATCATGCAAAATTATGCTGTGTAGCAGATGATGCTATAGGCTTTCTCACARTGATTCCAGGTTTGCCTTAAATATTTATGTTTTCTGTGCTGCTCCTAGTGTTCCAGGTGAGCTTTGTGCGAAGCTCCTGAAAGCCTGGGCTGTATTCTTGGGATTTTTATTTCCCTTCTCCTAATTTGTAATACAGTCTCACTGAAATATCACTGGGAAGTAGCTGGCAAAGTGGTATTTTTGCAGTGATAAAATTTGCAAAGGAAAAAAACAAAAGTGAAACTCTTTTGTATCTATAAAACAGCAGAAGAGAGGGCAGGTGCTGAGTTATGGAGGAAAGAATGTTTTGATTGTATTTGTAATAAACAGCGACGTTCATGACGAGGAGGGTTTGCACTTGGTGTTAGATGAAAGCCGCCTGAAATGGGCCATGTACTGTAGTGAATCCGCCACAAGGTGGCAGTATAACACAAGTAAWGAGCCACATCTTGGCATCAAGGTAGGAGCTGATGGAATTCGCTTGGTTTCCTTYGAACAAACTTCTCTGCCATTAATWGASATTAGCAGCAACAGGTAACGTGAKTAACRAAGTTTCGTCAGGAAGAACTCGTGYAAAAGATGGAGCACTGACAGCCTAGGGATGGAAATTGTCCTGTCATGAACTGGGAAGTTCAAATGTTATGGAAGTTCTTTCCATAACAGATATCAAATATTACTCAGATAATGGAATTACTTTTTTTCCTCAAAGAACTTAATAACTGAAAGGTCCAAAAGCTAGGTTAGCTCATTTTCCAAGTTTTTTTAATTCATTTTGTACTGGAAGGAGACAAAGCCTAGAGGTTGTGAAGCCTCAGTGGAGGCTGCTAATTCCAGAGCTGAGGTCGTAGTGTGGGGTTTGGGTTTTTTTTGCAGTAAACCACACAAGGTATGGCTTTTGATCAACAGTGGGTTTAAAATAGAATCAGAAATAGCTTTGTTCTTTTGGACTTTTCTAAGCCGGTACAACTTAACTTTGAGGATTGTCATCTTTGCCTGAGGAGAATTTATTTTCTGCATGCCTTATGAGTGCATTACTTGTGATGTGGTGATGGTTTCCTGGAGACTTTCCTGTATCTTAGTTTAAATTGCTGGGGAGATGGTCGTGAAATGTTATTTATTTGAGAAAGAAAATGAAAATCTATTTTTTTCAAATCCCTTTTGTGCTGTGTTTTTGTTTTTGTTGGTCTTCCCTTTTGGAAACCAGTCTTTATTTTTCAGGTGCCAGCACTAGAGGCAGATGTTTGTTGTGTAAATAGGAGTTTCTCTGTGTGCAAGTTGGAGTTGCTTGGCAAGTGATGCCCAGTATAGTCCTGCAATTTTAGCTAACAAGGGAGAGGGGGAGTGCAGTGAGGAGCTTGGCTTGGAGAGTGGCTTGGAATGACAGCAAGGAAATTTGTACAGGTATCAGTTGATGTTTTATGAGACTGACAAGATAATTAAGAAATTATTTTGTTCCTCTGGAAATGAAGAAGGCATGTGGAAGCAAACCAGGAAAATGCATTTCTCAAGGCAAGCAGAATCTGCTCATTTAATAACATCGTGACTGTCTGGACAGTTTGAGTTGATTGGTTTGTTTGTTTGTTTGTTTGTTTGGGGATGGCCTGCTCAGTGTTTTAAAGGTGTTCGTGAAGAGGAAGGAAAGTGTCCATATGGTTTTCTCAGGCCCACAGCCCACTTGTCCCCAACTATGCAGCTGCATTTCTTCCCAACACTGTGAGCCCTGTTCTGAAATTCTGCATATCAGTTTTGAGTGGGGAAAATATCCATGTAAAGCATGAACTTTTTTTCCTTCTACATCATGTAACTATTATCTAGGAAGCTAAAGACAGACAGTGAGGAGGCGGTGTTTTTCAGAGCAGTGCTCTGCTYATCCCAGGCACAAGGAAAAGCACGSCTGCCAAGTTTTTGTTAGATGAACAACTGACTTGCCTAAGGATAACAAGATCTCTTTTGCAAAAAGCATTAAATAGCTTACTCTAAATTTCTTTCTTATTTTTATTAATCCCCAGGTTGACATAAAAACAAGGGTATGGTTGCTTTCAGTCTCTGTGAGGCAATTTTCAGTTCTAAGAGACTCTTTCAATGTACTTAATATGTTAATTTCCTCAGTMTTTTCTCATTARGATTCAGAAGGAAATTCCCTCTCATCAAAAAATGGAGAACTAAATTGTAAATCATAGCAGCCTGGTTTAACTCTAGCGGTTTTTTAATTGGAAATCTTTTAACAGGAGATTACCATGGTTTAATTTCTATAACATGCATATCTTTTAATTATCTAGCTCCTTTTAATGCAAAACCACAAAAACCAACTAAATTAAAACATCCTGTTTATGTTTCTAAATATTTTTACTGGCAATGTGTGAATTTCCTTATTGACACTCATTTTCTCTTTTTGGCTTTTTAAAACCTCCTTGGGGACCTCAGCAGGCTGTGGGTCAGTTATTAAGCACAGTTTGCTTTCTGGGTCAGTATGGAATGCTTTGTGGAGCTATTCCTCTGGAGTGTTRTTACATATTCCAGGTTTATGTTTGGGTTTGTAACTCTGCAGAGAGAGGTCTGGCAAACGCACGTTTTTTTGTGATCAGTACTAATGTTTATGCAGTATAAGCTATAAGGAATTGCAGCACTGTCATGTATCGTTACTGCATATGAAAAGTGTTCATTATGATTAGATGAGAATGCTAAATTATGTGCAGGCAATGCTATTTAAGCCATACTTATTGTTTTGAAACCACCAATGTCAAACAGATTTGTGTATTCTCAGTTTTCTAATGCAGTAGGATATGTTTTTGTCCTACTGATTAACAGTTGATTAAAAACAGTGATATTGTTGGAAAAGGTAAGCTAGACCTGCAAAATTACTTCAGCTTGAGAKTTCCATGTATTTGTTTAAAACTTAGGTCGTGTATTCTCTGTGGGCTTAGTAACCAGGAAAATGCTTATGACTGTTCTCCTGTGGCTTGTTGGGGTTTTTGAGCCACTTCATATTTAAGACTTCCAGAATGCAGAAGTGACTCTGAAGTGACTTGCTTAAACATTTTTCTTTATAGTCAGTCTCTTTATTCTCAGCTGAGTACTGGGGTCCCATATTTTGACAGAATCTGCTGTATTAACCCTGTGACAAATGTCATAACCTAGTTTTAAGTAAATTGTTTGAAAGGGTGAAGATGTAACTGCTCCCTTTAAGGGGTCTGTAGTTTGTTCAATCAAGAGCAGTAATTAATTACCCTGGCTAGATGCAGGCTGTGTGTTAGTCTGTGKAATGCCTCCAGTAGTGTTGAGAGCACCTGACCCATGGAGGAGCTGTGCCTGAGAGCAGTGTGTCTCCTAGATCACATAGATGAACGGACAGTCTGCAACACCATCGCCCCTGAAAAGGATGTGGATGGATTCCATATCATGAATATTGGACGCCTGTGTCTTGATCAGCCTTCCATAATCCCTGCCACTGCTGCTGCTGTCTGGGAAATCATAAAACGGACAGGTGAGAGACTCAGCTGTCCTCAAACTCTCTTTATCCTGGGAGACGAACAAAGGACTAACTCAGGGTGACTTACAAGGTCTGGGTTATCTAAATGCATTTGACTGATTGAAGAACAAACATTTGGAGTACTRATCTGAATAATAAGGAGTTGCCAAGTAGATGGAATCTTGTGCCAGTAGCACAGCTATTAATTAAGTGTAGACAGTAGTACTTGGTTCTAGTTCTTAGTAGTACTAAGTTCTTCCACTAGTTCCAGTGGASAAAGGGGAAGAAACAAGAACAAAAAATGGGAGGATTAATTCAGTACTAGAAGGGGAAAAATTGCCTATGTGTTCAATAGATGTCACTTTATATTTAGAATGTAGGTGGTCATATTGGTAGACATAAGCACTTCCCTTTTGGCTGGAGCAGGGAAATTAAGTCCTTGCTAAGGGTGATTCAGATAACCTGAATCAGTTGCCAGTTTTCTTTCTCTGAGGTAAAAGCTGAAAGTTGTTTTGTGGATTCATCCCTCAAATTCAGCCTTGTGGATTTTCAAGACGTGTTGATGTCAGCAGTCTGCAGCAACAAATAATTCTGTCTTGGGGATTGAGAGGAAGGTTTTAGATGTATCAAAATAGTGGAATATATTTTTTTATCCTTTTTTTCCCCTACCAGGAATACAAACATTTGGAAAAAATGTTCTTGTAGCTGGAAGATCTAAGAATGTTGGAATGCCTATTTCAATGCTTTTACATACTGATGGAGAGCATGAAAGACCTGGAGGTAAGTCCAGGAGTGTTGTCCTGATGTTTCCATTTGTGAAGTCATGAAAACAAAGACAACTAGAGGATTCAGATTAAAGAGAAAACTTTTTGGTTGTGTCACTACTTGCAACCAGAGCAAGGCAAAAAATTTGCTAATGTATTTCCTGACTTATTCTCAGGAGAGCAGTTTCTGGACTCAACTATTTCTGGTATTAAGTCATGTTTTCTCCTCCATTTGAAGCAGCAACTATTTCAACACAGTCAGCACTGATTATTGAGAGTAATACTGGCAGTGAGGTCTTGAAGAGCTGAGGAGGCTCCTMTAATGTTTATACAATATAGCTATCTCTATGCCTTATCCTCATGCTTGTTCAGTATTAATTTCATTTATCATACACACACAAGCACACACATACACATGCATTTATATATGCACACATATACATTTATATATGTATAAAATATGTGTGGCATGACCCTGGTGWTGTGCTATGTCAGTGAGGTGTTGCTTGTGAAAATACACAAATGACCAACCAAAGAACTTTCCAGTGTGAGCTCTATGATTAYGTGTTGGCCTTGGGGTATTTCTGCAGTGCAGTTTATATGCCCCTGGAAATTGGGTGTTGTGGTGGAAATATTTTTAGTAATTCTACTTACAGGAGCCTACATGTGCTGCTATAATTGTGCTGTAGAAATTAAAACAAACATAATTTAGATAGAATGCTGCCCTTTTGCAACTTCATTTTGATGTTAGAAACTGCCATGGTGGTGTGCACAAATAAACATGGCCTTTTAATCCCAGGCCTGTTTAAGTGGAGCAGAGTGAAATGTGTTATTAATATAATAAAACMCTAAAAGCTTTATAGTAATCATAGCGTTGGTTTTTCCATTCAGCCTCTGTGGGAAAGTTGCTGTTTGGAACTTCTCTCAGTGCTTGAATTGTAATTACCATTGGTGCATAGTTTTGGTCTCATCMTCATTCCCATGAAAATTAGTAGCATTTTTGCCATTTGCTGCAAATATTGGATGACATGTATTTCTGGCAGTGCAGCTGATGTTTGAAGTAGGCTTTGGTACAACACAAAGTCACTTTGCAAACTATTCACACGTGTCCCAGCTGGAAATGAGGATACCTAGTGACCTGTGATGCTTTCAGCAGCTTGTTGCAAAACCCACAGCAATTGCATGGACAGTTTTTAGCTGTAACTAAATACTGTTTGCAGCTTCCAGCTTTGAGCTGATTGAATCCATGGCTCCGTCTCGTGGTCTTGTATCTTGGGTTTCTAGTTCCTGTTTGACTGCCTGGTAGTGCAGCCTGTTTTGGGGGGCCAGACCATGAGTTTGTTGTGGTGCTTCATGATCTTCTGCCAATGTTCTGGTTCCTGACATGTCAGATAACTTACCTGGCAGTGCTGTTTGCTGGTATTGCCAGTGGTTCTAAGTATGTCACATATTTGTTGTAGGGACAGAAGAATGTTCAGATAGTCCCTTTCTGATTCTGGAGTCTAGATACAGAAGGAGTTAACTCATTAAAGTTATGTTTGCCTAATCTGAAGAAATGGATTTATTTCTCAGGTAGTTTCCTAGTCTTTCAGCCTACTGAGTGCTGGTACAACATTATAAAGTAGCTGGCAATGAGAAAACAAAGGAMCATGTGTACTTCTCTGATAATGAACTGGCATTAAGTGTGTATGTATATGATATGTGCATGATGATAAATACTTCTGTATTTGGTGATCTGSTGGAGTTTTCCTTCCATACTCAGAGATTCAGCTCTCCTTAAAGATCTGGTTCATCTTGTCAGTTGGGTTTAATTTCTGCTTCTGCTGTGAGCGGCAACAGACTGGCCTGTGGAAGAGAAGGCAGGCCAGGCCATGGCTTCAGCTTTTCTTTCTTAACTCGGGAGGGTAGGGACCAGACACGACCTACCATGAAATGCTGAAAAAGGACTTTCTCAGTTTATCAGTCAGGATAGGATGTTTTCAGCAACTGTGCTGATTTGATTAAATATTTCTTATGGAGAAATGACAGAAGGGGTGTGTATGTGGTACTATTTTTTTGTTGTTGTTGCTGTAGGTTTTGTTCATTCGTTTTTTATAGATCATGAACAAAATGGAAAAAWTTGGGACTGTCTTAATTTGTGAAGTTTTTTATGTAGATACACTCATGTCCTGCAGGTGGCAATGCCTGATCAGGTGGAAAAGCTATGTGAACCCCTTCCAAAATAAATAATGTTCTGTGTAGGCAGGTCAAGAGACTATCTCTCATTTATAGGCTAGGGAATTGAGCTGGGAGTATGATGTAGAATCTTAATTGTTAAATATATTCCTCTTCTTTCAGTAGAACTAGCAGTGTAAAAATAGTTGTTTATTTTMTGTTTGGGCATGATCACAAATAAATGGAAAACCTCCCCTTTCTGAGGTGTCTGTAAGCTTGCTGTTTTCAAGGTAGGGGCTTGTCCCCCCTTTCTTTTTTCTCCTTTCCTTTTTGGTAAGGAAAGCAATTACTTGGTTTCAGGAGCTGACTACAGACGTATTCCTCACTAAAATCTTAGTGGCAAATTAGCACCTATTTTATTATTCGGAGGTAGCTTGGTAACTTCAAATTTTATTCCCTACTGAGTAACCTCTCTGCTGAGTAATTATTGTGATTTTGGGCAAGACATATTTTTTTTGCTTAAAGCAGGTATCAGACAACCCCTCATTTTTTTTCAAGCCTGTACTTTTCTGTTATTATCTGGAACTATTTWGATTGGCTTCTCACTGAGGAGATGGTGTGCACTACAGAGCCTGAAGAAGAGGGATAAAAGGTGAGGGGAAAGAGCAGAGGAGTCAGAGCACGGGAAGGTTGAAGAGGAGGTGTCTGAGCAGAGTGTTAATGAGAAGCACAGATTAGGTCAGTCAGACACATTCCAATGGAAGCAGATGTGATGGTAACGTCTGAGCAGGCAAAAAGTTTTCATTTMATATCAAATAACAAAGTCCAGGTGTCTGATGAGATGGGGTATGTGACACCTGAACACTGTGCAGTGCAAATAATTGGAGAGGGGATTAGGAGAAGTCTTCTCTGAGAGCTCTTATCTCTGCTGCTTGCTTGGGCAATGCTCAATGGATCACCAGGCTGCTGTTGGATCAGTAAAAGCTTTAGACCCTCTCCCCATGACTGTTCGTGCTGTGAGCTCTCCTAAGTATCCCCATCAAATAGCACCAGGGTTTTTCCTGTGTTACTGGAGGGTTTATTTGTAGCTCTTGCCAGGAGATGTTGGGTGCGTGCCCAAGCAGCCGCAGGTGTTCGGAGTTAGCTCAGAAGGATGTGTGCTTCTTGTGCTTCTGGTGATCTGGTGATCAGCAAACAGCTGAATCTTGTCAGACCCTGTACAAACCGGGCTTCAGAAAGCAGACTCTGCCTTCTGTGCCGAGTTTGCTTTGTGGACTTCCACTGAGCATAACAAAGTGGTGGAAGGTATCATTTAGTCCACAATTTATAAATTAATTCTTTCTAGGAGAATTTTTAAGAACAAATGTTTTCTTGTCTGTGTGAGCAGCAAATCTTGTGAGTGTTCTGCCTATGCTGGTTTAAAAGTCACATCCCAAGACAAATCTGATCATCTGTACTGTTATTAATGTACCAAAATAAGGGATTTGCACSTGAAAGTAAACACTGTACTTTTTATAGCATTTTGTATCTGACAATTAATTGATATTCTCTTCCATTTCAGGTGATGCTACAGTGACCATTACTCACAGATACACTCCAAAAGAGCAGCTTAAGATCCACACACTGCTCGCTGACATAGTCATAGTTGCTGCAGGTAATACTGGTTATTGTTAATACTCCATTTGCAGCACTTCAAACCTAAAAGGAGGACTTTGCAGTCTGTGTCTGTGGCACTGGCTGTTTCACATKTCACTGAATAATCAGTGCTCGTGCTTGCAGAGGGTGTTGCAGGAGGTAGGATTTGTCGTTGTAGGAAGGGCAAATGATTTGGCTCTTTGTTCTTGCCCTTCATATTTGCAAACTCATAAACTGTTTCTTCTCACAATGCGACACCTTTCCCTTAGGGAGACTTCAGAGTGAACCCAGGATTGGGAACGAGTCAGTGCATAGTTTATACAGGTATAATTATGTAAATGAAAACATTCTCTGTGCCGTGCAAAAATCATGAGTCATTTAAATTTTGACAGGAGGGTTTCTTTAAATCAGYTGGAGGCTGCAGTAATAAAACTATGGTATCATTATGGTATCATTCCTCCACTGCTAGAATTAAGACCAATCTAGCCAAATTTACTGGAGGTTTTGGTAACCTTTGTTATTAATGGCTGATTTTTTTTTCTCTTTACAATTACTATGTCAAGAGAAAAGGAATGGTAATTGCCTAGAGGAAGGAGACTGAAAGATCRGTGTCTGTACTCTTAAAGCACTGTCTGGGTCCCTTTCCAGCTCAGCATATTTTCTGTCTCTTGTACCATTTTGGAGGACTACAGAAGGATTGTGTCTTTCCTCTTTTCTGCTCCCTTTCCCCCTCTTCCTCATCCTCAAGACCCAAGACTTCCTTATGTATCTTCTAGATGAAGGCAGACAGGTACCTGCCTAAAGCTTCTCACTCCCTGTTGAAGTGAGATGCCCTTTCCTTCAGGGTTTAACTTCACTGCCTCTTTACCATGGCAGGCCAGGAGCAAGAAACAACTTCCTTGTCCCACATCTAATTGCTCAGCTGTGGGCCTGACCAGAATTCACCACTGTSAATAAAAGGTAACAGTGGCACACTAACTGGAAATAGTAACTTCTCATCCAAATTCACAGCTTCCAGTTTAATCATCGCTTCTGATTTTTAGGCTGCATATGGTTTGTCATCATTTATGCTTGTAGTTAAGCGGTCCAGTAGCAGATTAGCCATGTTTACCTTTCACATTATTTTCCTTGTGTCATTTGTAACAGGAGTGTGATACAGCACTCATTACACAATTTGAGATATACTTGGAATGATGAAAAAACCGAGGGCTAGATTGTGCAAACAGCACACAGCCCTGCCCCAGTGGCTGCTCCAGGGAAGGYTGCTCTTTAGAAAGGTGGAATCACTCCAAGCTTCCTTTTGTTACRTGAGAACTGAGCGCATTGTACCTGGGATCACACACTCCCCGGAAATGGGTGACCTGTTCARTGAGCGTTGCAAAAAAGAGAACTTGTACCCTGCCAGGCTGGAACAGCTGCTGTGCAAGATGTGCAAATAGAAAAGGGCTTTTTTGTGTGTGCCCGTATGCAGAACCAAGATTCCTAATCTCTCTCTCCTTTTCCTGTGTAGTACTTTCACAGGATCCATCTGCATCCTGACTCCTGACTGCAGTGAGCCTGCTCTGATGTGGTGCTCCATCTCTGAGTGCTTTTCTGTTCACTTGCATTTATGGTTTTGGTAATACTTCAAATCAGGTGCTTCTCTTGTTACTCCTGAGTCTGAGAAGATCCATCTCTGTGCTGTCTCTCATTTGTCCCCAGGCTTGGGGCCTGAGTTTTCTTGCTTACTTGGATTGTAACTATCCATGCAGTTTATTCCTTCCTTCTCGTTCCTTCCCAGCTCCTTCCATCCTAAGTTCCAACAAGGCTGCTCTTGTCCAGCCTACCCTTTCCTAAAATCTCTTTCTATACCACACAGTTTTTGGAATTCTAGCCAAAGCATCATATTCCCTGTTAAGCACACCTGGCACTTTGTRTCCCACCACATCATTTCCCATCTTGGTCTGCTATCCCTGCTTACAAACATCTCATGAAGTCTGTTCTTTTGGCATGGGCCCATGGTGCAATTGTAAGTCCACTTTACCAGAGGTGCTCCTAGAGCCACCACAAGACAGGTGAGGTGATGATGGAAACAGCAGGACTCTTGAACCAGCCAGCCTGCTGCTCCTGCTCTCTGGGCTTTCCAGTATGCCAAGAGAGAGAGGACTCATCTGCCTACTAGGTTTGGAGAGAAGGTAAAGAGAAAAAATAATGACTTGCCAAATGCCAGATGAAGTTCTGCTTGGACTACCTGCACTGTCTCTTGGGACATGATCTGTGGTCTTCTTGTGCAGGAAGTGCTGGTTAATCAGACCCTTTATTTACATAATATCTGGTTAGCTTTCTTAGAAACTGGCTGTTTCACAGTCCTTGCACCCAAACTCAGATTAGGTAGGGCCTTGTTTTTCCTTTGTTTAGAAMGTGATTCATCATTTTCTACAAAAATTACCAATGAAAGTTTTTCTCATATTCTTCAGTCCATGCATTTTAGGAAAAGCTGCTCTAACGTTTATCCCTTCCTACTTGGTATGTTAAGTAGGCTTAAGTAAATAGATATGCTCATTTGGTTTGGGGGTTGGTTCATTTGTTGCTGTTAAGTATTTGGCTTATTGTCAAACCATTTTCCAAAGGGTGTAACTGTGCAGCTTCCGTTAATATGCTCTCAGCCCTATCACATGCGGATCATTTACCCCCATAAGGCTGAGGTATTATCCAATTACCAGCCAGGTTGCCATGGATTACCATGGATTACATCAGAAGGGGATGAAGGAGATGCAGTCAGATGTTATCAAATGGGCTAGGAAGGAGTTTGAGCTCTTGGCTTGCTCGACATAAGAAGCAGAGTTTCAAGCGGGTGTCTTATGGGGGAGTGATAAGTGGAGAGCAGAGAGTGTTCGTGTACTGCCTGCATCCAAATGACTGAGTGGCTGTGCTCCAGCACTTCACATGGAGCCAGAGCCTTGTGTGCCACTGCTTCCCTCCAATAAAACTGCATTTTCACACTACATGCATTTGGTTTCTCTTCTCCCTGCCTGAGAGAAAGCAGCTTTGATGGGAGAGGGGAATTTAGGCTCCCTCTTTGGAGATTCTCTAACATTCCTCTCAGAACAAAGAATTGATGGAATTGCTCAAGAAGCAAAGTGAAATGTAATTTTTAGGTTGGGAATTCCCACCACTGAAAGCTGGAGGTTGCATGATAGGGAAGAAATTCCTGACAAGAAACATAGAGCCTRTATATGTGGATACATGTCATTATGTTGACTTTGAAGTGACCTTTGAGGTTTTCTGGGTCCTGGCTGATGCACATATTCATGATGAAAATCAAGATGCTTCACATTTAAATGTGTTGAAGAAATATGGTGCATATGAAAAGCTGAGATGGCTTCTTGTACCTGTTTTAGCTGGAATTTCTTAATAGCAAGAAACTTGTACCCCAGGGCACTGCAGAGATGCAGCCCACAAGGTGTGCAGTACCCAGGCTGGGCCTCTCTGGTCAAGTGCAGAGGTCTTCCAGATTGCTGTAAATAGCAGGAAATGGTGCTTTGTCTTCTGTGGAAGGTCAGTGTTGTGTGCTGGGGTTACCAGAACAGTTAAAACTGCTTATTGGTCAAGTGTGTTTCTTGAACCAAAACCAATCCCATGGCACAACTTTTGGTGGAGTCTTTTTTGTGGGTTTTTTTTTTTTTTCTCTTTTCTGTAGTAGTAGTAGTTACAAACTTTGTGCAATGAGGAATAGTTGTTTCCATTGGGGGGTGTATAAGAAATATTCAAGTGAAAGAATTCTGCTCTATTTTGTGCATGCATAGCTGTGCATGCACACCCTTTGATATAAAAACTGATGACCTGAGACTACCTGGCCAGGGTAATTAAATATGTGTTGATGATTCCAGGTATCCCAAAGTTGATTACAACTGATATGGTCAAAGAAGGTGCAGCTGTGATTGACGTAGGCATCAACCATATCCATGATCCTCTTACAGGAAAAACCAAATTAGTTGGGGATGTGGACTTTGAAGGTCAGTGAAACACTCTTTATACAAACCTGTTRGATAAATATATTGGAGTTAGTAGGATTCACTCATGGTAAAATCTGCACAAGGCAGTGTCCAATTGAGACAATGTTTTCAGGATTTTTTTTACAATTTTTTAATTAAATAAGAACGCAAAAACKGTCTGTTCTTAAGAAATGGTATGCTAGCTAGGAGAGGAAGTATTACTTTTAATTACAGGTACCAGCAATCTGTAAGAGATACAGATGAGTTCTTCGGGCAGTGTGGTGCAAAAGGTACTTGTGTCCAGTTTCTTTAATCCTTTGAGTTTTTGAAATGTTTCAAAACTAATCAATGAAACCGGTTTCTGCTCCTTCTCAAGCATAGGGTCTCCCATTGTTTGTGGCAGTTATTATTAAACCACAGCTTCTCAAAGCCTCCTTTTGCAGTCTTCTTCTACACTTGTCTGTGAAAATGTTAACTTGGCTTTAGAAATATCCTTTACACTAAAGTTTAATGTGAGTTCATCTAAAAATGCTTAACATCTTGGTCCAGGCAAGCCTAACAGATAAAAATTGTTGTTACATATTGATCTCTTTATGTTTAGCGTGTTGCAGAGCAAGTTCACGATGTAACTTGATTAAACATCTCTGCTCTGGAGGAGCTCCAGACTGGAATAGCAGGACTGTTGCACTTGTTGGCAGAGTTGAGTGTGGGAAGCTTAGACAGCATTTACCCACATTAATAATGGTTCTCAACAGTTCCTTATTTTGATAAGTATGAAAATCACCCACAGGGTTTTTTTTACAGTTATTAACATCTTGGCTGGCATAATGTCTCAAAGCTTAATTATATTCAGAATGTTTCTAGCCAGCTGTGTGTATTTGTAATTACATCACTCCCTTAGTTCCATGCTGCTTTTACTCATCGTGCATGTTACCTGGCTGCTGAAGTCTGTGAAATTACCTGCATGAATGTAGCTGAGTGATTGTCTTGGAATGTGTTTGGAAATCTGTAACTGGATGTGTGCAACAGAGCTCCAGGAAAATTATTTTTTGGAGGACAACTTGAAAAATTTTTCTTCTTTCTTATCCTGCTTGTGCTATCACAAATAAAGGGTTCTATTTTCTGTTTTCAGAGCTGAACTAAAGTAGTGAGAACTTTCAGATGTTTGGTTTGCTTTAGCAGGTGTAGAAGWGAAAAGGCTGTAACTTTGTGAAATGTGAAACTGCATCCTTCCTGTTTGTTTCTCTTCAAACAGGGGACCTTGTGCCTGCAATAAAGGTGTAGATTCAGTGGCAAGGCCGTGATTCAGAGTTTCAGCAATGCGCTGTATCTGTCTCGTCATGTCTGCTGTGGGTTGTTCTCGAGATTTTACCTGGGGGGAGGGAAGATCCAAAAAAGAGGGAGGAACTTCAGCTTGGATTATGCCACTACAGTTGCAAGCAGCATTTCACTGTGCATTGCCAAAGGGAAATTGTTGTTGGTTCATTGGTATCGGTGAAAGTTTCACTGAATCTTTAACAACAACAAAAAACATCCCAGTTCTGAACACTAACAAATAAACCACCCTTGGCAAGTATTTGATCTGGCAGTTAGAAAATGGAACAAGCCAGCATGTTCATGTASCAAATCATTTTATCCTTTCCCCCTGTTTGATCACTTGGCTGAATTTGTATTTAAGCGTAAGCAAAAATGGTTTTTGCAGGTTGAGAGTGGGCACATTAAGGTTTGGCATGACAYGTGGTGCCTGTGTAACATCACGTAGCTCACCAATCTCTATTGTCTCTTCGTCCACTTCTTTAGGAGAAAARTGTGGCTGTGGGGAGAGCAGAGCTTTAACTGGGCAATCACAGTTCACATTTCATTTACAAAARTTGATGGAAATTACTTCCTTCACCAGATTATCTGACCGAAAAGTTCCTGTAATGGAAATTAAGTTTATTAGATATGTGGAAGCATTCTTAAATTCAGAAAGTAATGGAATGCCTTTAAGCAGAATTTGTGATTTCCCATATTCCCATGTCCTCTTTATTTTGACATTCCAAACTGTGTCCACATCAAAAAATAATAGTTTTTGAGTCCAGAATAGTTTACTGTGCAATTCCAAGATATCTGGAAGAGCAAGACAAGAGAGCATTGTGCATATGGAGGCCAGCTGCAAAGCACTGAGATACTCAGCCTGATACTGCAGGGATATTTTAAACTGTATSTGCAGCTCTCCATGTAAAACCACCACACTGCATGGAGGATACCTGTTCATGTTAAGAATTGGCCAAAATCTGTGGTCCAGGGAGAGGCTGTTCTGCCTTCTTGGAGCCTCAGGAGGGAGAGTGAAGTGCCAGGGAGGAGGAGGAAAGGAAGTGATGGCATCCCTGTGTGATCTCCAGCACCATTTTAGCTGGTTTCAGCAGCAAGTTTCAGTCACAGACAGGAAGAACTGTTTTTATGAGCAGCATAGTGCACGTGTGGGTGTACTTGGCCCTGTTTTATAGGCTTTTGTTGCCACAGCTATAATGCCAAGGGAGGAGGAGGGCTAGAAGGACCAGAGACATGAAATAAAGAAACAACCTACCCAGAACATTTAGCTGAAACAGCTCTTTGGGGTGGAGCATCATTTCCAGGAGTGACTGGTAGAGCAGGATAGTAACACACCARTGTAGTAGCTCACCTTTGCAAGTGGAACTAGAAATGCCCATGAAACCAAAGTTGCTTGYATTTCCTTACAATTCCTTCCAAAGTTTTGACAAGCAGGTGGCAATGCTGATTGTTGAGTCTTTATTGGATGCCTATGTAAAAAAGAAATCCTTTGTGTAGGGCCTTGGTTAGGTGATGTAGTTGTGATATCAGTGGAGGGGTTTACACAGGAGAATCGTTCTTTCCAACTTGACAGTGTGAAAGAGATTCTAGAAATGGGTGCCACYATGAGCAGGGAGGGATTCCCAGAGCTGAACAGCAGAAGAGAGAGCCCCAACAAGTAAGCAATGTGGTCCAAGGTGGTGGGCCTGTATTATCCATTTTCTTTGAATGCTRTTGACCACCAGGTTCTCCAAATCCRATGAATKAATGGARGTGGTGCYYGTTCAGTTGTACCTTAGCAGCAGTGTGCAGGAACCTGGGCTCTGTGACAGCAGCTCTTTCTGATGGTGTCTGCTGCCGCTCCGCGTTCATTGTCATACCTGCCCAGCTACAGGCTGCTTCTCACTCACTGAATGCTTTCCAAATCAGCTCCCTGGGGAGCTTTCCCAAACAGTGGTCGTGAAAACAGAAGCTGGATGTTCTGGGTGCTTTTGCTATGCTTTRTTTGTTTGTTTCTCAGTTGATTTCAAAGATCTGGCATTCATTTTGCCAGGAAGMAGAGCCCAGTCTGTGTAATCGCATCACCATATTGCTGCCCTGCAAACATCAGGGGAACCATTGTCTGTTGTTCTCCATGAGTGCAAGGAGTGAATCAGAAGGTTGGCAGGAGACTGTGACAGAAGCCACAAGGCCAGGCTGGCTGCTGGCTAACTTGTGTCAGTGAGCTTYTGGATGGCCCAGTACAGCTTCCCCTGTGCAGAAGAGGTGTTGTTCAGGGGCCTCAATAAGTAATCTTTGCTATCTTGCATTTCTGCTGCCTCTGTCCCAGGGCTATGTCCCTATGGCAGCATCCCATCCATCTGTCTGGACTCATTAGCTGAGTGCAGAGAAGCTGTTGTGTGTCATTTCATGCTGGATTTCTCTGCTYGGGATACCTTTATTGTCTGGCTTTCAGAGGAAATATGCACTGTTACAATTACAGTACTGGGCCATAATTCCTTGGTTTTCCTCTATAATGCAATTAAAATAGCTGCAGTAAGAAAAGCAGGGCTAGCAAAAAGAGGGAACTCTGAGAAGTGTGTAAAGAGAATAGTCCCAGAATGTGTGGAGCAGAACATGGGATATCTGGTGTGACTGCTGAGCACACAATTTCACATTTGGGCAGTGCTGCAGGGATGCAGGGATCTGGTGTAGCTTTACAGGGACTCATAAAGCAATGTGGAAACAGTGCTTAGGCAGGAATTACTCTGCATCACTTAATGCAGATGCACAAGACCCAGAACTGCCTTCAGGTTGAGACTTGCCATTGGTTTGTGTGATTAACCCTATTAGGTGTCTGATGTCCTCAGCTTTAAAGGAACCTAGGAATGAAGGGCTGTTTCCAAAGCAGTGGATCCTGTTTTTCAAGGAAACAATCTACATTTCATTTCTTCTGAAGAATCAAAGGAAGATTTCCAGCTTCTACAGAAGCTGAAAAGTAGCAGCTCCTCCCCCATAGGCATTTAATTTGCATTTTCCAGATTGTCAGGGGAAAGTCTGGGAGACCAGCACCCATCTGAAAAAAGCAGGAGTAAAGTTGTGGATGAAGTTACATTTTTCTTGAGAAGCAAAAACAGGACCTGAAGGAGCTGACAGAACAGAACCTTACCCACTTACATGAGATCAATTTAAGTGTTGTCTGGGAACTGTGCTTTGGCCCACTTCACTTGACCAGGAATGGAAAATCTCTCGACATTTTTGAGGGCGAGCTATATATTTTCCCCTTGTAGTCATTGGCATTCATCTTGGAAAATTGCGCTCACCATATCTGTRTTTACTCTTTCCAATGGAAACTTGTCAGATGTTTGTTTCCCCAACACAGACACYTGTTGTGTGTTCAAAAATCTGAATCAGTTTTTGTGCATAAACCATATCCGGGTGCCTTTGTACTCACTGATACAAAATTTGGCTTCTACTGCACCAACCCACAGGGGTTTCCTTTATGGTGGTGTGGGTAGAGGAATTCCCCAAGAACTTGGGAAAGCAGCGTGCTGTGTGTTTCTGCTGGGTAGGATTACTAACACCACGGGTAATGCATGTTGTACCTGATACTCATTGGAAGGCTTTCTTCAGGAAAGGCACAGTCTTTGTGAATTGTCCCTCTTTGTAGGCAAGATAGGAGTAATTTGAATAACATCACAAAAAGAGGTATGTAACATTGCCATGGAAACAAACATATTTCAGTTTGAAATGCCTACAATATTTTCTGTGTTAATGGATGTGTTTTCTTCAGATGTGGGTACATTTTAATAATTATGACATTGAGAATTYGTAGTAACTATATTAACTGTAAGCACCAATCTGAAATGGTAGGTAGGTCAAAATAGTCTGACTATTAAAATGTTAATTATTTGTGYTTGAGAATGTTAAGAGTAACTGTCATATGAGATCCTAATTAATTTGTTATATTTTACATATGAATAAAAACTGTGCTGTAACTTGATTTCCTTTCCATATATTTTAACAGTATGTCTGGTGGTGCCAGTCAGCTGAGTAATTAACACCCTYCTGATTGTAATTACCATCTCTCCTCAGTGAGGGTTAACCTTCTGTTCTTCAGTTCTGTGAGATATTCACTGTTAACCTTGGAATGCTGTCATAAGGTCCCTGTCATGGGGGTTTCAGACAGCATTTTATTGGTTTCATTTACCCSCTGCTCTTCAAATCGAATAATTATTATTTAAAAAAAAACAAAAACCCAATATCCAATTTTTTCAAATTCTTTAGTAATATTTCTATTTTTGAGCCTTTCCTATTTCTGACAGGGAAGCACCACATAGATTCACGATGAATACACTTGACGCAGTAGCAAGTGTTCTTGTTTGTTCCAAAGCCAGGTGCCTGGTTCTTCATCCCTTAAACTCTTCTCATAGCCAGGCAGTGCTCTGTTGTGACTGCAGTGAAATTGGATGTGTTTGTGTCGGTTATGCTTGCTCACTTGTCTCCTGTGTGTGTGCCTTTGGAAAAACAATWCTTTTGAAAGTGAGGTCTAATTTTCCAAGAGGTTATTACTAAGCAAACAAAAAAAGCCCCTAACTAACAAACAGAAAACCTCTCACGGTGGCACCTGGAAAGAAAAACAGCTCTCAGTATTAATAAGGTYAGTAAAATGCCAATTGGTCAGACCATTATTAGCAAATAACTTGCTACTGTTTATCCTGTGATGAGTTCTCACAAAGGTGAACAGAATTCCTTTGCAAACAACCTGCAATTCCAGTTGATGGCATTTTTCATAGTAGGTAGGAGTATCAAGTCAGGATTTATTACTTTGTTATAAGAATTCCTTATTCAAACAGGTTAGCTCAAATGCACTCAGGTGTACACTGAATTTGTAAAGGCTGACATGGCTCATGATTAGAGTTTAATTCATCAGTAAAGTTTTACTTTGTGRTACTTCAGAAGGATCTACACCTTTGGATCCTGGTTCASTCTAGGTACCCTAGTAACACTGATWTAAAAAATAAGAAGTCTTCTCTGGAGGAACTGAGTGTTTATGGCTGAAATTGCAATGGGAATTTTGCCACTAGGATTGTGTTTTTCCTTAAAGGTGACTCTTCTCTTTGTGGAGTATATTGTGAAGCAGAAAAACAAATCCAACAGAAAATTGCACTCCCTCCCTCTCCAGTTCTAAGTCTCCTCTGTGATCCCAGGATGTCTTTGTTAGGAGGTGGGGGACAGAGGGCAGAGGCTGACTAGGTGACTTTGCTGCTGCTGGTGCTTTGCTGCCAATGGCAGTAGTTCCAGCAGCCTCCTGCTCTCTTCCTCTTTCTCAGCAACACAGAATTTGGGGGTCACTTCCTTACCTACAAAAAGGGATGCCCAGCTTCCATAGCTCTCCTGGATATTGCAGGTGAGCTATCCCAGTGTGCAGGTGGGGGTGATGCACCTCCATTCTGCTCTCCTTGGATCATCCTGAACTTGAGTCATCCCAGATGTTCATGGGACAGCTGGTCAGCAGGGTCACATTGGGAAAAAAAATTCAATGGGGTTAACCTTCCACCTTGTCTGACCACAGGCTGTGTGAGTGSCTGCTGCTGCTGTGGGGAAAGGGCAGCACACTGCAGGTAGATTAGCTGGAACAGGCTATGAAACCTGGCCCAGAACTAGCCCTGGGTAATAAATTCAGATTAGGAGAAGTACCTYGCAGCCCCAGTCCTGGCCATGTTCTGTCCCTTCCATGGCTGCAGGAATGCTTCTGCCTTGGCTTGTCCCTTCCCTCAGTACCTGCCCAGTCACAGCCCTTCGTGCTCATCGCCAGTTGGGCCTATGTGGGCAGTGGAAGGGAAGAAAAGGTTTGGAAACATTCTTAGTCAATGCCTTTTTCTCTTTTCTCTTAGAAGTGAAGAAGAAGGCTGGCTTTATCACTCCAGTGCCGGGAGGGGTAGGACCTATGACTGTTGCAATGCTTCTGAAGAACACTCTCCTGGTCGCTAAAAAGCTCATTTACTAGAGCAAGCAGGTTACCTTGAAAGAAGAATCTGARTTGTTCTATTTATTGATGCACAAAACATTTATTTTTTACTACAAATATATTTATTTCTACATTGTATTTATTTTTCCATGTCAAAATGCTAAATCTGGTGGTTTATAAAAAGTTCAAATACCTTGTGTTATCTCCTACTGACTTACTGTGATCAAAAACGAGTTGGAGAATGCAGCCTCCACAGGTATGTTGTTGTTGGTGTTGGTCAATTACATGTTTGAGAATGAAGAATGAAGCATAAATTGCAATTACACCTATGAATTGGGGCAGTTATTAAGGTCTTGTAAACACTTGGGACCCGTTCAAACAGTATAAAAACTRAAGACATGCTAGATATCTTTTATATACTTGTTTTGGGTTCCAAGGGCACTGAGCACTCTGGATGTAGTTCAGAGTCCTTAAATATTTTTTGACCACTTAGAGCCAGCAGTGGCCAGGCAGTAATGTTGACGTGAATGCAAACGCACAGTCAGTGTTTTAAAATAGTCAAATAAGCTTGAACCTGGTGAAATTCTGACCTTAAATATCTGCAAGAGGTAAGCGTGAATAAGCTAGAGTTGAGGCTGTAATTATTTTTTTTCCATGCCTGGACAAATTGTTTTGGTGGATAATACCCTCACCCTCCAAAAAACCTTCAAACCTGAACAATTTATTTGGCTGAATTTGACTTCAATTGAGAGGAACGTAGTTAAAATTATTACGTATGTACAATATGTATAGTGGAGCAGGAGGTGAAGAGGAGGAGAGAACCAAAACTTTATCTCTTATGTTTGTGTTGGAACTTAAAAGCCATTTAATTATTCTCTTACTTTTTTTGACTGCATGAAGAGGGCTTTTTTTTAGTCAATGTTGTTAGCCTTGGCTTCAGTGCTGGTTAGAGAAGAGCATATGGGATAAAATCAGTATGGTTCTATTCCCAAAAGKTTGGGTCCTGGGTGGATCCAGAATTAGTCTTATGCAAAGTAAAAGCTGTGGTGGAGTTACTGCTGGGATGCCAGTTCAGCTGACTGTGTGCACTGTTGACATTCCTACTGAAGGCAGTGCGAGAAAGTTTGGACCTTTATCTTCATGTCTTTATCTCAGCTAGGATTATTGATTTATTTTTGTCAGGAGCCTTAGGTGTTTGCTAGTGGGCTATAGCTAAGTTGAAATAGGAAGGAGAAAAATTGTGGCTAAATACTGTTGCCATTAAAGGGGAAAATGCACTTATTATGATAAAAGAGTCAAGGTGGAGCATCATTTCCRTGCTGACTGTTCCTGTGATGGACTTCCCGAGAGTTTGCTTTAACACAGTGTTTGCAGAAGTTGGGCAGGATTATTACTAAATATATMATGCCAATAGTGCACACACTTGCTTGTCTTTTTAAATGTAAGTGGTAATACAAATTTAAGTGGTAGGAGGATCAGGGCACCTATGGAGACTGTCCTTGGACTGATCACCCCATGACTAAAAGATGGAATAAAACTTGTTCACTGTTTATTTGGTCTTGCTGGAGAGCATTGATGTGGTTTGGGGGATGGTTGTGTTCTTTGTTTATTGTGTGTTCAGAGCGCAGCGAATGGGAGAGCTGCAGGTTCAGTCATTGCTGTGTCCATCTGCATTGCTGTTTGCTTTAATTGAACTCTGATATCTCCACGTTTTTTGGCAGAACAACCATTCATGGCTCTGTGCTTGTGTCCTTTGAGCGAGCCTGCATGTGYCATGCCCTACAAACAGGTCACTGTGCATTGTAAGCCTTTTCCCTTTATCCTGTGGTGTCTGGGTTTGTGTTCCAGCACAGCCAGTGGGGCTCGGGCTTGGCTCCACGGCACGCTGTCTGCACAGCTGCTGGGTCCATCTSTGAGAGTGCTTTCTGCTGGGAGAACATCCAGAGCAGCAGCCAGAGGGAAGGGCCCATTCGCCAACTCAAAAAGCGTGCTGGTGCACCCGACCCGGTCAAGGATTGTCCATGGACAAACRCCCTGTGGGAGGTGAACACGGCCATGTCACTGCAGCCTTGTCCCAGGCCTACTCCACCCACTGTGTTGCTTCATGACAAAGCCTCCTCTCGGATCCTGGCCAGATTCAACTCCCATTGTGCAGCTGGGTGTTGAAAGCAAGGCTCAGGAGCCTCATCCCTGCTTGGGACTGATAGCAGAGGTTATCCAGGTAGGCAGAAACACTCCTGTCCATCTGGGGAGTGTGCAAGCTGCACTTATACAGTGTGCAGGCATGCAGCAATTCAGGATAGTGAAGGAAGGGAAAAGCCTCCTGGAATGCAGTCCATGAGCAGGAAAACGCATAATTAAAATATGCATAACTAGCTTGTGTTTTTCCCTTATTATGTGAAGTGGTTAGGTGTAATCCTACAGATCACTGAGGACAGTGCACTGGACAGGGAGAAGTTGAGCCAACCAGAGTTACTAGGGCATTTATTAGAAGACTTTTGGTTTTAAAATATAAAAATTGTGAAATGTTGCCTGGAGCTCACAGCTGAGGAAGTGAGAATTGTTGCTGAGGTGAAGTGTGTAGTTCTCCTTTGGTCAGAGTCAGGTTGCTGATGTCTTTGTGTTATTGAACCGGGCTTTTCCAATTACCTGCTCTAGTCTGGGCACATCTGTACCCTTCAGAGAGACCAGTCTTACTTGTTCCAAGCTGCCTGTGACCAAGGAAGCTGGACAGCGTTTGGAGCTGTGGAGAGTGATTTAGCAGAAGTGTTTGGCAGGTCTGTGCCAGAGACATTATGCACAGTCATTATGCACAGTCACTTCTTGGAGAGGCAGAGGTGGGCTTTTCTTGCAGCAATGAAGGGATCCACTGCTACAGGAGACAACAGTTTATCTGCTCTTTCAGTCTGTGTTTCCTCAGTGCTCGCTCCTGGCCACTCTGGACTTGTACCCTGCAGCTCCAGGCAGCAAGCCCAGGCCT